CCTTGACAAATTCTGTTGTCTTTGTATATTTTCAGAACTTGACTACCATTCAGCATTTGAAAGGGCACTCCTTGATTGCATGGATAATTGCAATGGCTTCCTGGTGGACCTTCCTCCTCCTGCTTCCTAACCTCCCATGGTTTATTCTCCAGACAGCAGTCAGAGTGATTGTATATAGTCTTGAGCATACTTAAGTACTTTCAGTGTCTACTATGTTCTAAGCATCCTTCCTGGTGTTTGGGCTTACAACACAGGAAACAAAACAAAGCAATCTGGTTTTTTTGGAATTCTAGTGAAGGGACACAGGGAATAAATGGTGAGCATAATAAATTCTATGATTAAGAAAAACACCCTGATGATATGTATAGAAAAAATATAAATCGGGCTAAAGAATTTGGGAGCACTGGGGTGGAGGTGAAGGTGGCACGTTTGATTTCAAATAGAGTGATCAGTGTGGATGTCTTTGAGAAGGTGACTTTTGAGCAAATACTTGAAGGGGATGAAAGAGGGAAGTGTGTGGCTACTGGAGGAAGAGCGTTCAAGGAAGGAGTTTAAGTACAGGGTAAGACTATAATACTTGGCAAAAATCATGTGGAAGATGGGAGAGCTCAGTGGTTATAGTTGAATTATTCTAAAGTCCTTGTATTCCTGGAAGAAGGGTAGAAATATGGAGTGATTTTGACTTTATTAAGTGATACATACATGTTAAACATTAAAAAAAAAAAAAAAACTATTAAAAAAAAAATAATCCCAGACCAGTAGAGGGAAAACAATTTTCTCAGCATTTCTAGGACTTCATTCTATTGTCTCTATGTATATTTATCTTCATATTCCAATATTTAAATACTAAGTCTCAACACAGCATCCGAAGTGATCCTACTAATATAAGTCAGAGCACTCTGTTCAAAACCTTCCAACTGATGGCTTCCCATGACACTCAAAGCAAAATCCTCACCGGCTATCCTCACAGATGAGGGAGCATAAGGCAAGCTGATGTCCCACAATCCCACCACCAACTCCCCCCCCCACCTCCCCCAAGTGGGAAATGTGGGACATTCCTCAGGTACTCCTGGATGCCCAAGAACCAAGGAAAGGGAAAAACCAACAGAACTGATAGAGATCATGTTCATGTAGCACAAGAGTCCCCATCAGTTTACAAATATCTTAGTAAATTATAAGAAAAAGGCAATCTTATCAATAGCCTAACCTCCAGAAACCTATAGACTCAGTTTCCTGGAGCCCTGACATCACCCACCCCACCCATCACAACTCCCCTTGATGTGGGGAACAAAGGCAAAAAGGAAATGGTTGGAAAATAAAATTTCTTTATAACCTGCAGCCCATTGACAAATACTTGAGATAGGCAGAGTATAACATTTCTCCAGGAACTCCTTATTATCTTATTGTTCATGGTTTGCTAGAGAAAACAAAACAAAACAAAACAAAACAAAACAAAACAAAACAAAACAAAACAAAACACTTAAGCTTGACAATAGCTAGGCTTCCAGTATCTTTTGAGTCCTCTTTAGTGTATGAATGTCCTTTTGGAAACTTCTCCTTGCCTTCACCTCTCCCAATTCCCAAGTATATAATCAGGCACTCCTCACAACCTCAGTCCAGCTCTTTCTGCTCACTGGTCCTGTCTCGGTGCTTTAATAAAATCAAGATGGGGCGCCTGGGTGGCTCAGTCGGTTGAGTGTCCGACTTCGGCTCAGGTCACGATCTTGCAGTTTGTGAGTTTGAGCCCCGCGTCAGGCTCTGTGCTGACAGCTCAGAGCCTAGAGCCTGCTTCAGATTCTGTGTCTCTCCATCTCTCGGCCCCTCCCCTGCTCATGCTCTGTGTCTCTCTGTCTCTCAATAATAAATAAACGTTAAAAAAAATAAAAAATAATAACTTAAAAAAAATAAAATCAAGAATTCCTTCTTGGCTTGGGCTCCAGACCCCACCACTCCAAAACCACATCACTCACTGTAGCCTTCAAGGCCCTAAACAAGGAGACCCTTTTATGATCTCACCTCCAGCTTCTGTTCCCTTCTTTTTCACTCCTCTGATACTTGGGCCCCCTTGTTATTCCTTAAAAGAGCGGAAGGAACTGATGCCTCAGGGCACTTGCTCATTTCTTTTGCCTAGAACCCTTCCCCCCAGAAAGCTACATGACTTGTTTATAACCTCTTTCAAGTATTTTCTCAAATTTCATCTTTTCAAAATACCTCACAGTGGTATTTTACATTACCCATCCTACACCTATCACTTCCTATTGTTTTTTTTCTGCCTTTATTTCCCCATAACCCTTATCCTCATATCATATGTAACTTACTTATTTGGATTATCACTTCTCCCCTCAATTGAATGTAAGCCCCATAAGGCAGGGATTGCTTATTAGTATTATTTTTACTACTGTATCCCCAGCATCTCAACAGAGTTCCGTATTCAATGAACAAATTAATAAATGAATCCTATAAGATTCCAATCATTAGTTCCTTTTATGAAGTACTCTAATTAGAAGGAATTGTCTGTCATTAAATTACCCCATGATCCTATATCTTATTACTTTCTCTTTTCCCCTATTAGTCAGGGTTACCAGAGAAACAGAACTAATAGACATATATTCCCACCCACTCCCTTTTACACACACATGTACACCCATGATTTTAAAGAAATTGGCCCATACAATTGTGGGGGCTGAAAAGCCTAAAATCTTTAAGGCAAGCTGACAGGCTGAAGATTCAGGTAAAAGTTGATGTTGGAGTCTTGAGTCTGAAGGTTAGAAACTCAGGCAGAATTTCTACTCAGGCAGAATTTCTATGTTGCACTCTGGAAGCAGAGTGCTTTGGGAACCTTCTTTTAGGTACTTATGGAGGCTTCACCACAGAGGCATGATTGATAAACTCCTTGGACTTGGATGATTAATTCAACTGGTAGCCCCCGACCCTTTTAGAAGGCCTGAGGGTGGGACGGGAAACTTCCAACTCTAATCGCAAGGTCGGCTTCATTGGCAACTGCCCTCCATTCTTAGGTGCTTTCCAAGAGTCACGTCATCACCATAACAAAAGAAGTTTCCTTGTACTCACCATTTAAGAAAATTCCAAGGGTTTTAGGAACTCTGTGCCAGAAACCTGGAGGAAGATCAAATATATATTTCTTACCATAAATCATAGTATCACAGCCTCCCCTCTTTTCAAAACCCTCTAATGACTTCCTGTCACATTTATAAAATCCAAATTCCTAGGTTTGGTTCAAAAGGCACTACATAATCTGACCATGGCTAATCTCTGCCCCCTATTCTACATTCTCCACTGGCTCCCTTGGCTTCAGCCACATCCATCAGCATGGCAAGGATGCTCTACCCACAAGCATTTTGCACTTGCTGTTACTTTTGTCTGCAAAATTCCCCTCAATAAGCCATACATGATCCTACAACTTCTATCTATCAGTGTTTATCAGTGTTTATATTTTTCTTTATCACATTAATTGCTACCTGCGATGATAGTCTTTACTTATTTATTTAATGTTTATCGCCTCAGATTTTAACCTTCACTGAAACAGTGTTTTATTTGCTTTATTTCTATATCTATAGCACCTAGAGCAGCTACTGAACCCACATGCCCTCAATAAATGTTAATTGACTGAATTAATGAGGAAATGAGCACTCCTTAACTTTCTAATAATGTATACAATTTTAAGCTTCTTCAGTAACTATCTTATTCATCATATACATACTAGAGGCTCAATAAGTATTTTAGACTCAATTTGAAAGGCAATACTAGGTTGGCTTATAGACTTTACTTTTTCTAACACTGGATGCATTTGCAGATAGTAGGTGTTCAGTGGTGGTTTGCTGACCTTCAAATGCAGGTTACTTTGGATCTGTCAATAACATAGTATAACGTATGGTTAACATAGTATAACATATGGTTAATGTAGTATTGTTTTGTATATAAGGAAATTAACTGGCTATAATAGCAACAGAACTTTTGTGAGGAACTGTTTTGAAAATTGGCAAAAAAGTACAATTTATATGTAGGGGCCAAAGGCAGGCCACCCCAAAATGTGCAACTTTGTTATATTGATTATTTTAAATAAAAGTTACTTAAGTAGTTAATGCAAGAGAGCACTCTGACCTGCTCCCTGCTTTGTCTCCTCTAAGCGAGAAATAAACCTCCCATGTGAAAGGTACTGTTCCTATACCAGGATGTAAGGAGACATCCTTATCCCCAGAGAAGAAATTAGGAGCCTAGAAGGGTATGTAAACAACCCTTGTTACTTTTTATTAATTTACTACCCCAGAGCAATCTGTTTAGAATAATTTACTAAACTCCCCAAATTCAGCTTTCTTTGTTCTTTGTTTTGTCAATTCTTCAGATTTATTGTCTCTTTGTATCCAAAAATATAAAAACTGCCTGCTTTGGTCATTTCTTTAGGTCAGTTTTATTATTGGACCCCTGCGTGGGCATACCTTGCTTGGAATCTGACAAATCTCTCAAACCAGAACTTTCCTTTTATTGATGAAGGGTTTATGCCCATAGACATTGTGTGCAGAGCAAAAAATAAATGAAAATTTCCTGATTCCTAGTTTTGTTCCCTTTCCATTGTATCGGTATTTTAATTTATATCTCCCTATATCCAAATATCTATGTACCTGTGTGTATATATCTCTCTATAATACTATATTGCGTCTTGTGTTTTTAAATAATTGCAAGTTCTGGGACGCGAGGCTCAGTCCTTAAGCGCCGACTTTGGCTCAGGTCTTGATCTCTCGGTTCGTGAGTTCCAGCCCCATGTCAGGCTCTGCGCTTGCAAGCTCAGAGCCTGGAGCCTACTTCAGATTCTGTGTCTTCCTCTCTCTCTGCCCCTCCCCTGCTCATGCTCTGTCTGTCTGTCGCTGTCTCTCTCAAATAAACATTAAAAAAAATTTTTTTTAATAAAAAAATAAATAATTGCAAGTTCCTTGACAGCGGGCATTATAAAATAATTTTTTCCCCTCATAATATCTCTCTAGGATCTGAACTCCTGGCAGAGGCTGTATAAAATTTGTTAAAGAGAACTCACTTAAAAGAATTATATACAACACCCGTGGTGGATCCCGGCTGGGCTTTGGTCCCGTCTCTGCGCCTGAGAAGCCCATATATAAGTGAATCCTCTTCCACTTCCCCGCCGGGATTTAGAGGCACCCTGGAACTGGTCCCCGGATGAGACTCCGAGGCCCCCACAGGATTTCAGCAGCTCGCTTCGGCAAGTACCTCCGCGAGTCGCTTGCTTCGCTGGCCGGGTTGGCCGAGGAAATACGCCACTCAGTATAGGGCAAGAGGTTGCGTGGAAGGAGCAAGGGATTTGGGCCGATGATCTTTTCCTTGTATTTGAGAAAGGGTTTGGAGGCCCAGCAAGGGGACGCCAGTTGCTAGGCAACCTGAAGACGCGGGCCTGGGCTTGGTGGAGTCTACTGGGAGCTGTGCCTTTCCAGCTTGTCTCAGCTGTCTCGGGGGAGTTCTCGATGGAATCGCCCCGTTGATACATACCTTTTGCCATCCCTCCCACTCTGGACCTGCTCTTTACCTATCTTGTTGGGTCAATTCAGGTTGGCTGTCGTTGGCTGGTGTCACACCCCAGTCCTTGAATCTCCGATAGGAAGGGGGCGGAGCATTAGTTCAGGTACTTTGCGTTAATGCATAATCTTAACCTTTGTGTGTGTGTTGGGGGAGAGGGGTGTACCGAAAATTACTGTTTGAATTTAAGAATGACGCCACGTTCATTCAGATACTTGGGTCTCTTATCACCTGGGCTCCAAGATAAACTTGGTCCTCACTGGCATGGAGATTAAATACTAAATCTTTTCATCTTTTTCTTCTCTCCTTGATTATGGGATGGATTTGACCAATTTATTCTTCGCTTTCCATTATGTTCTGATTTGGTAGAAGCAAATTATAGTCACTAATATCACTAACCAAGAGGGAAATGGTGATAATTGCAATTGGAAATAATTATCCTTGAGAAATGAGAAGAGTGGGAGGTGAGTTCTGTTCTTTTTGGTAGCACTAAAGATAATGTGGTAAGACTTGGATCTGTTTGTTAACAACATTCATGACGTGCCAGCCATAATATCTCTTGACTTGCGGCAGTCCGGATGGAGACAGAGCCATTCAGAAGTACTTTTCCCTGCTTCCCGCCACCTCTCCTCCCCAACATACCCCAACTGAGTATTCCCGTCAGACTTTGGTGTGCATTCCAAAGATCGGCTCACAGGCCATTTATTTGAAATTCTTTTGCCACCAGGTTTAGGTTTCTGGTGTTCTTGAGTCTTTAGCTAATTCTCCTTTCTTCTGACCTGTACCACCAGCAAGGGGGTAGTGTTAGAAAGAGATCTGAAACTGGTATAAATTCATGCTCAGTAATAACTGGCAAATAACTTGGCAAAGTAAAATCCCCCTTTTTTGGGTCACTGATTCCTCAGTTTGGAAATCAGAAGATTGTGCTATTTCATCTCTGCAGACCTGTCCAAATCTTAAGATTCTTTGACAGAGGTGTCAGGAGCCTGACTGCTCCAATTCTGTAGATCCTGGAGTGTTCCCTGTATGATGGCACTGCCCTTTCCTACTCCTGTGATATCTGAATGAACCGTTTGTATGCTGCCAAGGTCTGAAATAACACACATGTGAATTGACTGAATTCACCTATTCGACAAATAGTTATTAAGTTCCTACTGTTTTCTAGGCTTTCTGCTAAGTGCTGAGATACAAAGTGAGCAAAACCATAGTCCTTGCCTTTGTGAGGCTTACAGTATAGCGTGAAAAATAATGATTACCATTCGTGCTTTGAATACCATATCTATTGTTTGAAGAACAGTATATGTAGCATGTGATCCTGTCATTTATGTGCAGAGAAGGGAAACTAAGAATATGTTTAAAATGTGAACAGGTATTTGACTATGTATTAATTTATTGACTAAATTAATATTTATTATGTATCTGCTATATTAAGGACATGAAATCCAGCTTCATGGTCTTGACAGTTTAGAGACACAAAAAGAGTTAATTACAGTCAAAGCTAATGAGTGTTAAGCCTAGGGAAATACAGGGAGTAGGAAGTCCTGGAAAGAGTATTTAAATTTTGTTGTTTTTGTTATTTGCAAATGAATTATGGCGATGTAACGTGACCTGTAGTGATTTGAAATGGCTGTAATGGTTTCTCAGGTATAGGTAATTGTGTGGTTGGTGTGTGGAGAAAATCACTTAGCTGATTGCTCAGCTTCTCTGTTTTAAGTTGGGTTTGTTGGTTGTCAATCCTCATGGCAAATACAACAGCTTTTGTGATGTGGTTAAAAGCAAACAACAGCCTTCTTTCCCCCCACCAAAGCAATAACAACTTTAAGAAAGTTGCTTACTTGTGAAAGATAGCTCAGGAAAAAAAAGCCAAATTATTATCAAATCCAATATTGTGATGTTTTCAGAATATGTCTGCTGTTGGTTAGTAAGTCTTCCTGATTTTACTCTTAACAGTAGAAATCTAGCCTTAGGTCATGGGGTCCTAGGGGAGGGGACTATGGAAATGGGGTAAAAGGAGCCATATAGATAAATTAGTGAAGAACTGGGATATCTCAGTAAGAGGATTTCATTGCAGTAAAACTACATTTTAATAATAATAATGATGGCTACCACGAATTGAATAACCATATTCCATATACATAGGAAGATGAGAAATGTGGTAACATTAAACGCATTTTACAAATTAGAAATATTGGCTCGGAAAGGTTAAATTCTTACCCAAGCTTACATTATGGGAAAGTATCAAAAAAATGTGGATTTTAATATCAGTCTATATAACTCTATGCTGGCACTATGCCATGCCATCTTTCCTTAAAAATTAAATTACTATTAAAATAAATCCAAGTCTAATAATAGAAAAAGAAAGTATGAATTGTTAAAAAACATATCCTCAGTATGATTAAGGTTGAAGTGTGAAATAAAATATTCAAAATTTGGGTGACTGAGGATTTTGGTTTTGTACAACTTTGCAAGTTGATGATTTTCAATATTTTCTTACATGCGTTTTACCTGTCACCTCATAATTACTAATTGGACCATCCGCTCTATTTTATTCTTTGTATTGAAGAATACTGTTTGCATAACAAGATTTTTCATTAGCTTGCTCTGGTAAAGTCAGAACTCCTAAAGGTTTAGGAAGAGTAAAGAAAATAAATTTATACCACTTTGTGGTAGAGAAGTACAAGCATTAGTTTTCTATCACTACCGTGAAAAATTCCCACAAACTTAGTGGTTTGAAACAACATAAATTAACTCATTATTTATTATTTATTTTATAGTTCTGGAGATCAGAAGTACAAAATGAGTCCTCCAGGGCTAACATTAAGTTGTCAGCAGGGCTGGCTCCTCCTGGAGGCTCCAGGGGAAAATTCGTTCCTTGCCTCTTCTGACTTGTGGAGACTGCTCATGACCTCTCCCTCCACTTTCTTTTTTTTTTTTTAATTTTTTTTTTTCAACGTTTATTTATTTTTGGGACAGAGAGAGACAGAGCATGAACGGGGGAGGGGCAGAGAGAGAGGGAGACACAGAATCGGAAACAGGCTCCAGGCTCTGAGCCATCAGCCCAGAGCCCGACGCGGGGCTCGAACTCCCGGACCGCGAGATCGTGACCTGGCTGAAGTCGGACGCTTAACCGACTGCGCCACCCAGGCGCCCCTCTCCCTCCACTTTCAAAGCCAGCTATATAGCATCTTCACTCCTCTCTGACCTGTGCTGTCTTTCTTACATCTTCTGTTTCATACTCTGATTATTCTGCTCCCTCTTATAAGGACCCTGATGATTACATTGGGCCCTGCAGATAATCCAGGATAATTTTCACACCTCTAAATCCTTTACATAATCACATCTGAAAAGTCCTCCTTGTTGTATAGGGTAAACATATTCACAGGGCCCACTGATTAGGGCATGGACATCTTTGGGGGAACACTATTCGGACTAGCATTTGCCCCACATAATGTAATCACCCACAAAAAGTTGATTTGAGTGAAAGAAGTAAGAATGATTAACCACACGATTTCTTTCCATGTAGTAGTAGTATGCAATTTGCATGGCTTGTTTAAAATTAGAGTAAGAATGACCGTTTTGTATGTTTTTACCCTTTTCAAAGTATACTGCAGGATAAATACGTGAACTTGGATGGATTTAGAGGTTAAAGGAGTTGCTACTTCCCCTACGAGTCAAACTCAGCCATTCTCTGGAAGAAAGCTGCTGCAAGTATGTGTGCTATGTAGTTTTCCTCGTGTGGGATGATTCATTAAATAATTGCCTGATTATTCATTAAATGATTCATTAAATTCATTAAATGATTTATTAAATCATTGGCCATTTTCTTCATGTTTTTATGACTACTTATACTTACAAATATTTAGGATCCGTATTTTCTAGATTTGAAGAAGTGAGTGGCCAGGATTGAAGATAATCAGTTGAAAACTTGGTCATTGCTTGAATTAGTTTTATTTGTAAAAATCAAGCTTATTATTATTGTTTTCATATTATTATCTTAAAAATTATCTGTGTGTATCTGTAGAAAATGTAAAAAATAAGAATAGTAGAAAGAAGAAGAGAGTATCAGTATACATTTTGTGTTAGGTAAGAAGAGAATCTGGGCTTCTATTAAGACCTTTATTCTTTGTAAACCTTCATAATATCACCCTTGTGTATATAAATCATTGATTAAGCACAAATTTACAGCTACCTTTCCCTTGTTTCCATCACAGAATTGGGTAAATATAAATTTTAGTTTAGAAATACATACAAGTGATGTATATTTATATTTCTTTATTCTTATTATTCTAAATATTGAATGCCTACTGCTTGTCCAGACACCATGATCCATGATAAATGTTTCATTAACTTATATCACTTAATTCTTACAACACACTTTTGAGGTAGGTATTATTATTAACCTACTTTTAGAAGTGGAAGGACTGTGGGTCCTTGAGATTAAGTGACTTGCCAAGATTTTGAACTCCAGTTCTGACTTCAAGATCTGTGCTCTTTACTCAGATATCATTACAAACACCAACAGCTGGGAAATATGTGTAGGAGATAAGAATACAAAAACTTGTTCAGCCCCACTGATAATCAGGGGAATGAAAATTAGCATCATGATATACTTTTATGCCTCTATTAAATTAGAGGAAAAATGTAATATTGAAATACTCAGAATCGGTGCATTCTTAACTGGTACCATGAGGGAAAGTGGGTGGGGAGATGGCTTAAACAGGTGATGGGGATTAAGGACAGCGCTTTTGATGAGCACAGAGTGACGTATAAAAAAAACCTGACCAAAACACCAATGATAATTCACAGTATTAACTGATTATCATTTATATTAATTGATTTCAATTTACATTGTAATAGTGACATTAGAAAAATTAGTGTATAGAGTCTTGAAAATACAAAAGTTTCTTTATTGACTCATGCTGCTGTCTTTAAATCTGCTTTGTAAACTTTTTGGCTTTTGAAATAATTAGAAAAGCAGGATATTACATAGAAATCATCACCTCTTTGCAAAGCTTTCAGGAGTTGAATTTCTGGAATGCAGAGGCATTTGATTGTAATGTGTATATTATGTTCTTTAGAAAATGACTAGTCTAAATTGAAATTCTACAGAATCAAATATAAGAAAACCCAAAAAAACAAAACAAAACAAAAAACTGGTACCACATTTCTGGAAACAAGATTGGTGGTGTGTATTGACCTATAAAGTTTTTCAAGTGATTTGATGCAAATAAAATCCCTGGAATCTATTCTATGGAAATAATCTGAAATATAGAAAAACTCAGGTGAAACAAAGGTATTTTTTAAAAGTGTGTGTTTTTTTAAATAATGAAAAAAATACTGAAAAAGTATGTAGCAATTGAGAAATACTAGATGAACATGATTTTAAGGAGTAACATGGAAGTTGCTTAAAATAAAAGGGGAAAAAGACAGTATGCAAGTCATTACAAATTTGTCTAAATCTATAGAATACACACTAAGAGTGAGCTCTAATGTAATGGATTTTGAGTGATGATGATTTGTGAATGTTGGTTTATCAATTGTAGCAAATGTACCATGCTGGTGAGGGATATTAATAATGGGGAAGGCTATGCATATGTGTGGTCAATAGGGTCTTTTGGTGTTATGAGCACCCTGTTTCAATTTCAACACCTTCAACTAGCAATGCTCTGACGCAATTGGGTGACCTACAATTCAACTCAGTTTTGACACTATCAACCCAGAGATAGCATCAGGTTCCACAGGTTAAGGGTTCAGTTTTAAAGACTGCACACCTTCTCCAACTTCAAACAAACCCAGGTTGTTACCTGTGCTTCTGGCTACAGGCTGGAGTTGATACTCAGATACTGGTACTTCTGACCGACAAGCTATGTAAGTCAGAGGTTCCCACAGCCTCCTCCTTGAGTTTGATTAATTTGCTAGAGTGGCTCACAGAACTCAGAGAAACATTTTATTTACTAAATTACCAGTTTATTATAAAAATACATAACTCAGGAAGAGCCAGAGAGAAGAGATGGGTATGGCAAGGTATGGGAAAAGGGGCAGGAAGCTTCCATGCCCTCTCTAGGCATGCCACTCTCTCAACCTCCACGTGTTCACCAACCCAGAAGCTCTCTGAATGCTGTCTTTTTGGGATTTTATGGAGGTTTCATTACATAGGCAAGGTTGATTAAATCATTGGCCATTGGTGATTAATTAAACTTCTAGCCCTCTTCTCCACTCCCTGGAGGTCAGGAGGTGAGAGTGAAAGTCCAACCCTCCAATCACAGGGTAGGCTTTATTGGCAACCAGCCGTCAAGTTTAGGAGCTTTCCAAAAGCAACCTCATTAACATAACAAAATACATTTATTTCTCTTAACTTTGAGAAAACTCCAAAGATTTTGGGAGCTGTAACCCAGGAACTGGACAAGACCAAATATATATGAGAAATCTGTTTTGGTCATATGAATGTCCAAATGTATATTTCTTACAAATCATAATATCACAGGGGATATACAGCAAATATCTGTATCTTCCACTCAGTTTTGCTATGAACCTAAAACTCCTAAAAAATAAAGTCTATTTTAAAAAAAAGGACAGGATATAGCCAGCTAGGGGTCCCTGGGTGGCTCAGTCAGTTGAGCCTCCAACTTGATTTTGGCTCAGGTCATGATCTTCTAGTTCGTGGCTTCAGGCCCTGTGTCAGGCTGTGCATTGACAGTGCTAAGCCTACTTGAGATTCTTTCTCTCCCTCTCTTTCTCAAAATAAATGAACTTAGAAAAAAGTAAATAAAGGGCCAGCTAGTAATTTTGGCTTTATGGGCTGTTGTCTCTGTTGCAATCACTTAACTCTGCTGATGTAATGAGACAATTCATAAATAAATCAATGTGGTTGTGGTTCAATAAAAGTTTATTTATAAAACAGAGCTGACCATAGTTTGCCAACTCCTGGCCCAGGGATTTATAAGCTATAATTTACCTTCATTCTGGATTGGCTAGCAAAATTTTGTTGGAATTAGGCAATAAAGGTAACTGCCATTGTAAAATAGACCTATGACTTTAAAAGACTGTCTTTAAGTCAAAACACTTTCTGGGGTCTATTAAAACACCTTCTGGGGGGGAGGGAGGGAGGAGGGACGGTGCGGAGGCACCTGTGTGCCCCAGTTGGTTAAGTGCCCAAGTCTTAATTTCGGCTCAGGTCATACTCTCAGGTTTCTGAGATCCAACCCTGCATTGGGCTCTGTGCTGACAGTGCAGAGCCTGCTTGGGATTCTCTTTCTCCTCTCTCTGCCCCTCCCCTGCTATTGTGCACTCTTTCTCTTTCTCAAAATAAATAAATAAACATTAAAAAAAATAAAAAGCTTTCTGGGGGATAATGATGGTGATAATTATGACAACTACAGTTATATTCTGTTTAGATTTTCTTCCTAAGTTTAGATGATATCACGATGTTTTCCAAGTACAATTAAGACAATCTTTGATATGCAATAGAGGTGTGCTGCTACTTTAAGCTATGATGTATGTGTTATAGACAATTGACCTTTAACTCGTTTGAACTGCATGGGTACATCTATATGCAGATTTTTTTCAATAAATACAATGTGTTTTCTATTCTGTTTGATTTTCTTAATAACATTTTCTGTAGCTAACTTAATTGTAAGAATGTAGCGTATAGTACATATAACATAAAATATGTGTCAATTGACTTTATATTCCTAGTCAACAGTAGGCTAGTAGTAGTTAAGTTTTTGAGGAGTCAAACGTTATACATGCATTTTTGACTGTATGGGGGGAGGTGGTTAGTACCTTTAACCCCAACATTGCTCAAGGGTCAACTATATTATATATATATATATTTTTTTTTTCTAATTAGCTGATTATTTTGTGATTTTATATTTCTGCATTTTAACTTTTTATTAGGATAGTATTTAAAACAATGCCGTATTAATAAAGTTTATACTGAATTGAATTTGTGTTCTCTTTGGTCAATTAGAGTGATGAAGCTCAGTCTTACATGTAATTTCTTCTTCTTTTTTTTTAAATTTATTTATTTTGAGAGAGAGAGAAAGAGTGTGAGGGAGAGGCAGAGAGAGACAGGGATGGAGAAAATCCCAAGCAGGCTCCATGCTGTCAGTGCAGAACATGATGCGAGGCTCAAACCTGTGAACTGTGAGATCATGACCTGAGCCAAAATCAAAAGCTGGATGCTTAACAGACTGAGCCACCCAGGCGCCCCTTGAATGTAATTTCTATACTTATTGTCAGTATCACAAAAATGACCAGTTAGATAACATTTAAGAAGTAAGCTAGAAGTGTTGATGAATTGTTTGCTGCACTTACTAACTTGAATTTCTCTATGACTCATATGTATTTCTTATTCCATGGTGGCTGACCTCACCACCATGAGCTCACCACTCAATTTATCATGAGTATATTTCATGTCTTTGCACAATTTTTTGGAAATAATACTGAACATCTACAAATGTATACATGTATATATTTGTCTCTTCTTTGCTTAAATCCTGCAGTTTTCACATTACCTTTAGGGCAAGGTCCAAGTTCTTTGACTTGTATTATGGAACAGTTCTGGCCACGATCTCCTTGCTCTGGATTTCAGCCCTGTCTAGCTGCTAACTCTTGCCTGTGGGCTAGTGCAGGATGAGTTGTTTCCTGACTAAAGCAATATTCTCCCTTCTGCCTTTATCTGGCTAACTGCTACTTATCCTTCAGAGTTCCATTTCAAGGTTACTTTTTTTTGTTTTTGAAAAAACGTCCTCAGTTTCCTAGACTTGTTGGGTACACATGCTATATGTAGTTGCTCTGTCATAGCACGTGTTTTTCCGCATTATTGTTTGTTTGAATGAATGTCTTCCCCAGCAGACAGGGCGCCATGAGGGTAAAGATTGTCTGTGTTGCTTATCATCTTATTTCTATGTCTCAAGCATAGTAAGGAGAGCCTTAATAAATATTTCTTCTATGAAGTTTACTGAGAAAATAATAATCAGCTTTACTGAATTGACTCATTGCTTATCTTTTAAAGTATAAATAAAGGGCATATGCATACTGATTTTTTCTTTTAATTAAAGCAAGGACGGACTTCCAAATCACGGGCAATCCAGAATCCTTGCCTACCTGTGTAAGTCACATTTCTTCACATTTGAGCTATTTAATGGGCGACCATATATAATACGTTAACAAATAAAAAAAAATACAGCAAAATTTTATATGTAGCTGTGATTGTGAATTGCAAAAAAATTGATATTCATGTAGATGGCCTGAAAATTGCTATGCCAGAATGGAAGCAGGATGATGGGATTGAGGGTACTACTTGTCTTTTTTTTCATTTTCTTTAATATTCTTACATTTTCCTGAAAAAGTCAAACGATTGTGTTATTTAGAAAATTGAGCTAAGTGAATTTATTTTTTTTTTCAACGTTTATTTATTTTTCGGACAGAGAGAGACAGAGCATGAACGGGGGAGGGGCAGAGAGAGAGGGAGACACAGAATCGGAAACAGGCTCCAGGCTCTGAGCCATCAGCCCAGAGCCTGACGCGGGGCTCGAACTCACGGACCGCGAGATCGTGACCTGGCTGAAGTCAGACGCTTAACCGACTGCGCCACCCAGGCGCCCCGAGCTAAGTGAATTTATTAAAGAAATGTATGAAATTTTGAATTTTAAAACTAGGATAGTCAAAATGAATTTAATGCAAAGTATCTGTGACCCTAACCTTATCTTGAGAAATATGACAATTTTGTCAATCTTATTTAAATGATTTTAGGTTTGGACGGACTACCTTAATTCATGTTTTATATTGTACATTTTTGCCTTTTAAAATTTGGAAGGTTATTATTTTTATATTTTTTCAAGTATTTTAGACTACAGGACTTATTAGATAATAGATGTTAAAACCCTAGTAATTTGTTAGGCTGAACCGTATGAAATTAATAAGTATCAGCAATTTCATGTGGTTCTACATAACAGATACCTCTGTACTCATCTAGACAAAGAATAGAGGCAGGTGCAAGCCTTAGCTAAACATATTCAGTGTGTACTGACAATCGATCCCATTCATGTTAAATGTTTAACAACTGGTTTTCTGAAAGTGTACTATAAGTTTATTTAAAATTTTACTTGTTGGGGCGCCTGGGTGGTGCAGTCGGTTAAGCGTCCGACTTCAGCCAGGTCACGATCTCGCGGTCCGTGAGTTCGAGCCCCGCGTCAGGCTCGGGGCTGATGGCTCGGAGCCTGGAGCCTGTTTCCGATTCTGTGTCTCCCTCTCTCTCTGCCCCTCCCCCGTTCATGCTCTGTCTCTCTCTGTCCCAAAAATAAATAAAAACGTTGAAAAAAATTTTTTTTAAAAATAAAATTTTACTTGTTAATCATACATAAACTTAAGTATTTTTTAAGTTGGTTATAAATTTTACTCCTGTGGAAGATATATAGTAGGCAGTTTACAAATACTAATAAATATATAAACTCTTTTGGAAATTCCATGTAGCCAATTGATTCTCACAGAATGCTTTTTGTTTTCTGCTGAATTCTTGTATCTGCAGCTGACGAACCATTAGTTCAATTTATGAACATTGGTTGATATTTTCATTTATTGTAAAGTGAGGTGAGTGATTTATTTGTTGACTTAAGTAATAGTTTCAAATTCTGGTACAATATTTCCTCAGTTTTTTGTTATTTGCAATGTGTCAATTACAGATACGATACACTTTTTAAGTTTAATCTGTACCATTAATGTTTTCTTCACTACTGTTTTAAGTCTCAGAAATCAACAAAATAATAAATCAAGTCCTGATTCATAGCATTTGCCAATGTCCGTGTCAATCATCCTGCTGTGGCTGATTTCAAGCTATGTGTAATATTACTGAACCCAGACTTGGAAAGAGATGCACACCGTTACACTACCACACAAATACCATAGGTGTCAATAACTTCTAGAACATAGATAATAGTGAAGCACAGTAAAGTCATTAAGAAGTGATGACTTCAAGTATTTATGACCTTTGTTTTTAATGTAGCTTATTTAATTAGAAGTTTATATAATTTTATCTTTATTAATGCTTTGTTAACAACTAGCTCAAAAACTACTGAACCTTTATGTAACACAAGCTTCTCACAGCTGGTAGGTGCAGCACACCATTGGCTTTAGTGTACCTTTTTATATAAGATGCAGCATGTATGACTTGCAACTATTAAAGCCTCATTTTAAAAAGTAATGGGATGCATAGATTATTTCTTTCAGGGTTCCACGACTTGATTTGGGAAGCCTTGTTGACTCTGATGAGGAGGTAATTTTTACTTGGTATTTACTATAAAAAACATTTGAACACAATATTGCATAGAGCTCGTAATAAATGTTATTTAATTTTATTTTAGGATGGCTTTTCATATATCCCACTTAGTACTGCGCATATTCATTTTAACCCACCAGTTTCATAGCACCAGGACTGATCTTCAGCTGGGAAACAAAGTATAAGCTTCCTGGTACTTAACGACCACAGTCCATCCTGAGCAGTTCCACTTGCTTTGGTTGCTCAGTGATGCTGTACCAGCGAAATATTTTAAATATGACCTCTGTTTAGCATGGAGATCATAATGATCTGTTTCTTAAGCATAAATGTTAAGGTAAATGATAAACCTGTGTATGTTAATAAGGAAAATTAATAATTATTTTCATTTTTTTCCTTTTTTTTCCTGGTGGATAACATGCTTTTTATTTTTACATCTAGGAGCAAGACATAATACCTGAAAACTTACCAGGACCAACAAGCAAATATAAACTAAAATATCAGCAACATAAAACTGAAATGAAAGAGGGATATAAACAGTACAGTCAGAGAAATGCAGAAAATCCAAAACCAGGTGTCACACAACAGTCTCCAAGAAACAAGGTAGATGACAAGGTATTGTATGAGACTTCGTGGAGTTCTGATGTAATTAAAAAAAAAAAAAAAGAAATTCCATGTATCAGAGAAGTCTTTTTGTCTGGGGTGTCTTGCTGTTAGTCACAGTAAGTATAGTAGCTAGCATTTGTTTTTGTGTTCTAGGGACTATTTGAAGTGCTTTGCTTGCATTAACTAGTTTATTCTTAAGAACTACTCTAAGGGTTTATTATTTATCATTTTCAAATGTGAAAACTCTAGCCAGATGACCTAGTCATCTTTTCTCTGTTAGAAGTTTTCATTATTTTGGGATTGGAAATAAGACCATATCACAAAGCTGTTTTTGATGTAGCTATCCTGAACTCTCTTTGTCTCACAGTCTAAATTAAAATTGTTTTTAATTATTTATTTTGTGAGAAAGAGACAGAGAGAGAGAGAGAGAGACAGACAGACAGACAGACCATGAGATGGAGAGGGGCAGAGAGAGAGGGAGACACAAAATCTGAAGCAGGCTCCAGGCTCGAACTCATGAACTGTGAGGTCATGACCTGAGCTGAAGTTGGACGCTTTAACCGACTGAGCCACCCAGATGCCCCTCACAGTCTAAATTTTAAAGTTGAAAAGTGATTATAGATGTGACAGTGACCCTATTTTATTCTAAAACTGTCATCACTCCGTGATTTTCTTCTGCGTCATGTTGGGAGATGTTTTTTTAACATCATGAATTACTAAAGTTATGCTTTTATTTAATATTAATTAGATGTAAAGTCACCATTCATGACTATGAGAGCAAACTAACCATAATATATTTAATGGCTTTTCATAAGCATATTGGAAAGGTCAACCTTGAATTGTGGAAAGAAAGCTTTAGAAACATTGTTTATGACACTACTAGCCATAAAAGAGATAATAATTGGATGTAATAGTTAACTTTTTGTAAGAATATTGTATTTTCAGGGAAGTTTGATGGTAGTATCAGCTTAACATTTTTTATAGGTAAAAAGAATTGATTAATTTATGAGTAGGTATGGCATATCATCTATCCATGTAGGAACCAACTTGAACTAACTACTATATCACATGGTGTTTAGTGGAAAGAGTAACAAAAGTTATGGGATTATTTTGTCTCTATTATGTTAAGACACGTATCCCAGATCCAAACAGATGTATACAAATGTAATAATCTAATGTCTATAATCATAGGCAGGATAATTTCACAGCCCTGTGGCATCTGGCCATGTATTTATAAGTTTTACTGTGTAATATTTAGATCACTGTAATAATGTTGGGGAAATAGACTGAAGATATCTAAAAGCTCATGCTCTATTTGCTGCAGCAAAGTAGTTTAAAATATTTTTAAGCAAAGCTTTGATTTCCTTGAACATGTGTTCAGATGAGGGCATTTGTTTATTTTTGGTTAAGAGAGGAACCAATATTTCTTGCAAAGCTTCCCATATGTTTGGTAAACACTTATAGTATGAATAAAGAATTTTATAGAAGCCAGCATATGCATATTTTCTTTTGGAAAAAAATTGTTTTGCTTTGATTTTTAAAATCTACATATAAATGTATATAATTATTATTTCATGTGTTCTTGATAGTCTTGCAAAAAGACCTGGTTTCTATACATAATAATTTTGTACTTAAGGGTTCGAACAACTTATTTGATATTTTTAAAAATTTTTGCCATTACGAAAATCAAAATTGCTGTATACATGGGCTATTAGTAAAACTGTTTACAATTACATTAATTAGCATTGGAATAGTAATCTCTGGAAATAGAAGGGCTCTCTGATATCAGAAATGTAAGCCTCTTGATAAAGTAGGGAACAACATGTAAATTGATTCTTTTTACTGATTAAAAAAAAAAGCTAAAGTTAGACTTATTTAGGACCTAGGACAATAACGAAAGGTCATAATCACCCATTAGTCAAACTGATATTATCAGTCAACAGATAATTAAACAGTAAGATAAAAGTTCCCCTCTGCTTGTTTAATGGCAGATTTCCTTTGTTGAGTTTCCTTCCATTTAGTGTAAAAAGCTGATGAATCCTTATTGTCAAATTATTTCCCAAAATGTGAACTTATATTTTAAATAATGAAATATCTTTAAATAAAGCATAGGGGGCGCCTGGGTGGCACAGTCGGTTAAGCGTCCGACTTCAGCCAGGTCACGATCTCGCGGTCCGTGAGTTCGAGCCCCGCGTCAGGCTCTGGGCTGATGGCTCAGAGCCTGGAGTCTGTTTCCGATTCTGTGTCTCCCTCTCTCTCTGCCCCTCCCCCGTTCATGCTCTGTCTCTCTCTGTCCCAAAAATAAATAAACGTTGAAAAAAAAATTAAAAAAAAAAATAAATAAAGCATGAAAATTATTAAACTTCAATTTTATAGAAAACAATAATTAAGTCAGTAAATAAAACAAATACTTTTGCCCTTACAGAATATATATCATAATGGAAGGACTTAGCCAGAAAAAACATATTAGTGAATGAATCAATCAATCAACCCATCTAGCCTGACAGATGGTGATAAATGCTATGGATGGAGGGGAACTGGGAAGACCAGGGTTTAAGGTTGGGATTGCACTTGTACAGGATCACCAGGGAAGATCTTTCCCATAGGTAGCATTTCAGCACACGACTGGTACACAAGAGGTGATGCACAAGCCACTCAGAATAAACTCTGAGTGTCAGGAAGCAGGAGGGAGCATAGAGTGTTCAAGAAATATCAAGGAGGATGGGGGACCTGGGTGGCTCAGTTGATTAAGCCTTTGATTCTTGATTTTGGCTCAGGTCATGATCTCCCAGTTTGTGGGTTTGAGCCACGAGTCAGGTTCTGTGCTGACAGCACGGAGCCTGCTTGTGATTCTCTCTCTCTCTCTCTCTCTCTCTCTCTCTCTCTCTCTCTCTCTCTTCTCTCTGCCTCTTCCCATGCTGGTTCTCTCTATCAAAATAAATAAATAAACACTAAAAAAAGAAGAAATACCAAGGAGGATGGTGTGGTCAGAGGAGGAAGAGGAAGGGAGAGATGAGGAGAGAGTTAAGGGAGGGTGGGGAGGCAGATCTGCGAGGCCTTGTAGACCACGTAAGAACTTTGCCTTTTATTCTGAGGCAGAAAGCGCCTTTGCTGTGTTGAGGATGGGTTTTGTGAAGAATGGGGTGAAGCTGGAAGCGGAAAGATATTTGTGGCGTCTGTCACAATAAGCCATACAAGAGATGAGGACAATGGCAGCAGAGTTGGATAAGAAGTGGTCATGATGAGAAACCAGATTCTGGGTAGATTTTGAATAACTGAGAATATTTGCTGAGAATATTTGTTGATGGTTTGGTTGCAGGCTTAGGAGAAAGAGATGATGAAGGATGCCTCTAAAGTTTTGGGCCTGAACAATTGGAAGGGGAGGGAAGACCACCAGGAAGTCTGGTCTGGGGAGGTTAAATTTGACATACCAAGGGGGAAATGTCACCCTTTCCCTTTTGTAAAAGGATAAAAATAAGCTGAAACAAAATAAATAAAAATCTTTTGAAAGTTCCTTTCAGTCTAAACTTAGTGCAGACCTTTGCTTATACTTGAACATAGTCTGTTAATTTAATCAGCTTAATTTACCTTATATAATGCTAAACATCTTTTTTGATGCCTGTTAAAATAAATCACTATGCAGGAAAAACAAATATATTAGCAGGTAAATAAATAAAATTATAGGGGCGCCTGGGTGGCGCAGTCGGTTACGCGTCCGACTTCAGCCAGGTCACGATCTCGCGGTCCGTGAGTTCGAGCCCCGCGTCGGGCTCTGGGCTGATGGCTCAGAGCCTGGAGCCTGTTTCCGATTCTGTGTCTCCCTCTCTCTCTGCCCCTCTCCTGTTCATGCTCTGTCTCTCTCTGTCCCAAAAATAAATAAACGTTGGAAAAAAAATTTTAAAAAAAATAAATAAAATAAAATTATAAAGTATCCTCATAAATTGACTTCCCAATAGTTAATACTTATACAAGATGTGTTATTCATTTGTTGAATAAATATCGAGTGTTCACAATGTGTGGTTCTGTTCAGGCATCAGGGATACTGCAATAGAAAAGACAGTTCCACCCTAATGGAATGTCTAGCAGGAGAGGCAGGCAATAATTCACAAACAAATGTATAAGATTTCATGTAGTAGTCAAAGGTCATGAAGACAGAGTAGAGTATGAACATGGAGTGTGACCTTCCGAGAAGGATCTAAAGTGAGAACAAACCCTGGAGGAAAAACTCTTGAAATCTATTATGTTTTTGGCAATTGCTATCCCACTGGGATATTTTTGTTGTTGTTGTTAAGGGAATATAAGTACATCTTATATTCAGAGAAAAATTTAGTGTTTATCTTTAGGATCCCAGAGAATCCTTTACCTTAAAGGATAAACCCCATCTCTTAGTACTTCTGAATTTCATTGTATGAAGGAGTGGACATTGCCCATTTTTATTAACTTTACAAAGACTCAAATGGACAATAATAGTTATAATAGTTGCTACTTTGTATCTAATGCTGACTCTATCAGATACTTTTATAGGTGTTGGGCATTTAATCTGTGTGTGTGTGTGTGTGTGTGTGTGTGTGTGTGTGTGTGTGTGTGAAGTAGATACTGTTATTAATTCCCATTGCCATGAGTAAGCCAAGGCACAGAGAGGTCATCTAGCTAGAAGGTGGAAGAACTGGATTCAAATAGGCAATCTGATTGTCAGAGATTGTACTGTTAACTGCTATACAAATAACTATTGACATGTTCAGAGGTGATTTAATACTCTATTTTGTTAAAAACAAATATGCTAAGTATGTGAACTGAGTACAAACTCTCATGAGTTTATTTATTGCTTTCACTTGCAGTGTGTACAAGGTGAAGCAGCCATCATCGATGGTCTTACAACTCTGGATAGGAAGGCCCTCTTACAGCAGGGTTATGCAGACATCCCGTACAATGCACCATGGTGTATGAGGAAGTCTGATGCCGTAAGTTACCAGTATTTTTATTTACTTGTTAACCCATTAAGTTCATTTGCCCTCCAAGATTTTCCAGACTTAAAACTGAATAAATAATTGCAACAATTGAATTTGGACTGAGGTGGATGTTCACTAATGAGTAAATCGAGTCCTCATTTTTACCAATGGTTGCTGTTTGGTATATTTACCATGGAAAAATAGTCTTGAATCTTTAAGAGTTTATAAAAATTTAGTTTATGCTATTAAAAATGTTAATTGGCTGCTGTTTTTGTCAGTGGGTTTGATTTAGCATCACCCCTGCCTCCAAAGTAACCTAGTTAGTTTTATGAAAGTGATAAGCAAATAAGACTAGAGAAATTCCAGCACGTTAAGGAAAAGGGCAGGAATCAAGTAATTATTATTTTTTTTAAGGAAAAGGGAAGCAAAGCTCTAGATTCTCAATATTAACTCTAAATTGCATCTTTTATAAAATCATTTGGATTGTTGGATGAGGATCGCTTAGGGCAGATCTGATACAAATAGATAATGACATTTCTATAGTGTCCTGGGGTAATCAGACCAAACTGCTTGAAGCTGGAGTCCACTGGCCAGCCCAGACACACCCAAGTGATTAATATCTTAGACATATTAGTAATGAGCTGATGAAATACCAGTGTGTGGTGGTTCCAAAGTTGGGAAAATTCTGGCTTAAATAACCTAAATATAATAAAACATTACAGTTTTAGCCAGTTACATTATCATTATCATTGAGGGAAGTCAATATATATTTTATTGGAATCATCCAGAATTAGTATGTTCTGAATTGACAACAATGTGTAATCAGTCTCCGGACTATTACTGATTTTCTGTGGATGACCAAGTTACTACCTTGCTATAGTTCTTTTACTAAAACAACATAAACATTATTTTATATGCCTATTATTATTGAGATATTTATGTTTAATAGAATAAGGAATCTTACCAGGATTATCCTAAAATTTAAAAAAGCTACTTTATAAGACAAAACAGTATCCCAGATAAGGCTTACTTTGATATGTTCCTGAAGTTACACTTGAAATGAGTATTACTGATACTTAAGGCCTATTGAGTGTTCTTGATTTCATCCAAAGCCATCTGGGTGTTAGTGGATTTCTTTTACTCACAATCATTTTAATTCACTAAATTCAGCATCACGTACATTTTATTTCATTGTGGTAGCAGGCATTTATCATCCCCCCCCACACCCGCCCAAGGAAATGTTTGTGTGAGTACACTTTGAATGCGTTTGAAATTAGTAGTGATTTATTTTTAATTTTTTTTAATGTTTATTTATTTTTGAGACAAAGGGAGACAGAACGCGAGTGGAGGAGGGGCAGAGAGAGAGGGAGACACAGAATCTGAAACAGGCTCCAGGCTCTAAGCTGGATGGGCTCAGAGCCCGATGCGGGGCTTGAACCCACGAACCGTGAGATCATGAACTGAGCCGAAGTCGGATACTTAACTGACTGAGCCACCCAGGCGCCCCAATACTGATTTATTTAAAAAAAATTTTTTTTCAACCTTTTTAATTTATTTTTGGGACAGAGAGAGACAGAGCATGAACGGGGGAGGGGCAGAGAGAGAGAGGGAGACACAGAATCGGAAGCAGGCTCCAGGCTCTGAGCCATCAGCCCAGAGCCCGACGCGGGGCTCGAACCCACGGACCGCGAGATCGTGACCTGGCTGAAGTCGGACGCTTAACCGACTGCGCCACCCAGGCGCCCCTGATTTATTTTTAAAATGTAGGTGGAAACATTTTAATTTTTAACCACTTAATTCAACAACACTTAATTCAACAACAGAAGCAGTGAGCCTGTGTGGTTTTTATATCCATCTCTTTTAGTTTGCTAGTCAGTTTTCAACATTATCAGATCCTTTGAATCAGTGTGGCCTCTGCTTCTGATCTGCTTTTTGTTTACACAGGCCTCTAAATCAGTGTGCCTGAGGGTGATTCTAACCTTTCCTACAATAAGCCTCCATAAATGTCAACACTCAAGGTGGGCTTTCTGCATGGGCTTTCTACTCATTAATCTCACCTTTTGCTTGCTTCTGAGTTTTACACCTGTGTTCTGGCTGATCTCTTCTGTATATAATTTCATGTTTTAGTCAGTGCTCACTTTCTTCCCCCTTAGACATAAAACATGCTTTGCTGTACCTGTAAGTTACCACAAGTTTTCTAACTTTTTAATTGCTGTTTGACATTGATTACTAAACAAGTCATTATAAATTGTCATGAGCTTAGATAACACCAGATGCAGTTATGTTAAATGACATGAACTTTATATGGGGAGTATTTGGATGTGTAAACTGTATCTTAAGTTCTACCAAACCAAAAAAAAAAAAAAAAAAAAAAAGAAAGAAAGAAAGATGAAATTCAACTATAGACTAATATTTAAATAGTTGTGCCCAAATTTCCAGTTTTCTTAGTAGTTTCTATGATATGCCTTTAGTCATTCTTATTTGAATTTTGCATTAGTTTCAAATGGAGCATTCTCCTTAAGGTTACAAAGCCTTTATCTAAGGAATGTTATTGTACTCAATTCCATTTACTACAGTGATCAAGGGAGATGACAGTAATTTACAGTGTAAAAATAGAACCAGCTTTATTTTGACTCCTTAATTTTTTTTAACTTATTTTATTTACTCTTGAAAGGAAACATTTTAGTGAATATAGTCACATTACAATCTAATTGGAGTTGAATGATTACTAATCTTTCAATTTCATATAACCTAAAATATAGTAAAAATATTTTCAAATGAGTTGGAAGAGCAAAAAATAGCGTGAAGATAGTTTAATCAAACCAGCAATTGAGTAATGGATTATATGCATAGAAAATATTATTATCCTTTTAATGATGGAAGGCTTTTTAAAAATATTTATTTTTAGATTTTTGATATCAAGTTGAATGATTCCAATTCAGTTTTAGCTTCATATCTACTACTTACAGTTTTAGAACAAACTCTTTTTGTGTCAGGGTTGGTATTCTTGGAGCAGGTTAAAGTGCCTTTTACAGGGTATCTGTCAAGGATAGGGATATAATAATCTCCTCCTCCTTTATTCTAGCTCCATGAAATTCAGAGGCTGTGCATGGAAAACTCTGATGATTTCTACAGAAATTTAAGTGTATCACTTTTTAGGAAATAAATGGTATTTTTAGATTAAATAATTAGGATTCTTTTATTAGTGATGGATATAGTAATCTATATTTAAGAAGGAATTTGGAAATTTAACATATATTTTGGATTCTTGTCTTAACTATAGTATTGTTCTATTTTATGGACAATGAAATTAAAAAAAAATTTTCTCTTCTTAGGAAATTGTGGCTGCAGAGAAGAAGAAACAGACTGTTGCAGAGCAAGTGATGATAGACCACTTATCTAGGTGGGTGAGACTTAGTAATGAGTAATATAAATCCATTCAGAAAGTTTTCATTAATTTTTTTTATTGTTAGTCAATCAGCAAGTGGCTATCTCAGAGGCTCTCAAACTTTCTCTGTTCACTGCACTCATAGTGTTTTAGTGATTTTGTTTTTCATAGCATTCCTAAGTCAGTAGAAATACCCAACAGTTCTATTTTTAAGTATTTTTATCTAAATAACTTAAGTATTTACTTCATTACAACTTAATGGCCATTTGAAAAAATAATACACATAAATTGAAAGAAACAATATTTTTATTTCATTTTCGAATAGCCTCAATTACTTGTTTGTACCTTTTGGGACACTGCCCAATCCCTCAAACCTTAGAAATGTGTAGGATACTGTCACCTTCACTTTTGACTGCACATGGCACTTACTATTTATCACAGCAACTGTAGAAAACCCTGCTTTGCAACGTTTTGACATCATTGTAACATGATCTCTTGTTCAAACTGTGAATTACCTTGAGCTAGTAGTTCAGGTAGCATCCAACAAATACCAAGTATCACTGTTTCCCTCAAAAATTAAAAATATCTCACGTAGTCCCTATGAATTTTCTGTGGCACCCTAGAGTGACTTGGTGCACAGTTTGGAAACTGCGGGACTGTTAGAAATTTTAAACTTAATCTCCAGTTTCATAACTCTTAGAAAACTGTGTAAAGGTTAAATACCTGCTGTTTCAAATTGCATGATAATATGTAAATATGGCAGGATTTCAGAAAAGGCGGAATAGTCTAGGATGCCTTCAAGAAAGAACTAAGACTTTTGGTTAGCTGAAAAAAAAAATTTTTTATGTTTATTTATTTTTGAGAGAGAGAGAGAGACTTAGGATTAGCTTTGAAAAAAAGTATTGCTTGTGTAGATGGCAGAGAGAAAGTGCATTTTTACGTGCATGTTTTTCAGTAACTTGTTTTGAAATAATTATTCTTATAGGCTTCAATGCACCTCCTTCACTTATCTCTTGAACTCACTTTGTCGGTGTTTTCACCCTCACTGTGCCACCACATCTCCTCATAAGATAACGCGTGGCATCCATGTTGTTCCACTAATGGCGATCTCTCGGTTCTCCTTTATTTGACCCAGCAATGTCTTTCTCCACTGGAAACTTTCTCCTTTTTTGAAATACTTTTCTCTTTCCCATTTGGCTTCCTACACACGACACTTGGCTAGTTTTCCTCCTCCCGTCTGCTCCTTCTCAGTCTTTTCCCCTGGTTCCTTTTCATCACCCCTGCCTTTATATGTGGGAGTACACTGGGCTCCATTCTTGGACTTTTTCTACATGCAGTTCCCAAGTGATCTCATCCAGTATCATGCCTTTAAAAACCATTTATACGCTGATGCTTCCCTAATCTAAGGCTCCAGTGGAACATTTGCCAATCTGGGTTCCGGGAAGTTCTTTTCCTTCCCTTTTCCCATGACCAAATCCTCTTTAATTTTCCTCCAAGGCAGCTCCATTCTTCAGGTTATTTAGACCTAAAATCTTGGTGATGCTTTTGATGCCTCTCTTTTTCTCAAATCCTATACTCAGTTTGTCAGCAATCACTCTCACTTCCACCCCCACAATAAATTTACTCCTTCTTCTGCCATCATCCCTGCTCACACTGTCATCTTCTTTCTCTTGGATTATTTTAGTCACTTTCTAACTACACTCATCGTGTCTCCATTTGCCCCTTGTTGGTCTATTCTTAACCCAGGAGCCAGAGTAAGTCTATTAAAAAGCAAGCCAGATCAAACCTTCTAGTAATTTTCCACATCAGAGTAATATCTACGTATTGATTACATATCACCATAAAACCTAGTAGCTTGAAACAATAATTAATGTTTGTTTGTTTGTTTATTTATTTATTTATTTAGAGTGCAAACAAGTGGGGGAAGGGCAGAGAGAGAGGAGACAGAGGATCCAAAGGGGTCTCTGCCTGACAGTGGAGAGCCTGAAGGGAGGCTCGAACTCACGAACTGTGAGATCATGACCTAAGCCCAAGTCGGACGCATAACTGACTAAGCCACCCAGGCGCCCCCTAAGACAATAATTAATTAGAGTTCATGTATCTTCAGATTAACTGTCTAAGCTAGGCTTGGCCAAGTGGTTCTTACTTTTTACTTACTTTGGCCAGTTACATATGAATAAAAACATTGGTCTCAGTTCAGAGCTTAGGACTTAGGAAGCCTTATGTGTTCCCACTTGGCCTTTTTGTGCTTTTACTATATTTATGAGAACACAGCTTGGCCCACCCACTGGTCTTAAGAAGAACGTGACTCTGCAAATGCACCTGAGCCACTTAGCCAAGATTATCCTAGACAAGCAGATCCACAAACAACCCACACTTACGTAAGTTAGTTTAGTTGAGATCAGCAGAGCCATCCAGCTCTATATAATGGCCAAAGCAAGTCAAATGGCTAAGCCCAAAGCTAAAGGGGAAGAAAGTACAGTACACCTATAATGAGGCCATGGCAAGGATATGGATCAGGTGTGCTAAAAAATTGTCAATAATATAGTTTACCCAAGCCCTACATGAGCTGCCCATCATTAGACCTTGGATCACTTTTCCTGCTTCTCTCCCTCTCTTATCTATTCTGTTCCAGCCACTCAGCTTCCTCCCTGTTCTCAAACATACCATAAGGTTCATTCCTGTCTTAGGTACCTTGCGTTTATCTTCCCTTCTGCTTGGAATGCTTTTCCCCCAGAAATCCATATTGTTGCTTACTTACTTTGCTTCACATCTTTTTTCAGAAGTCATCAATACAATGTCTATTTGTTGAAAGAATAATAAGAGAGAGACATGAGGACGCCTGTGTGGTTCAGTAGGTTAAGCATCTTTTTTTTAAGGTTTATTTTATTTGTTTTTGAGGGAGCATGAGTAAGGGAGGGACAGAGAGAGGGGGGGGACAGAGGATCTGAAATGGGATCCATGCTGACAGCAATAAGCCCAATGTGGGACTTGAACTCACGAACCACGAGATCATGACCTGAGTTGAAGCCAGATGTTCAACCCACTGGGCCACCCAAGCACCCCAAGCATCTGACTCTTGATTTCAGCTCAGGTCATGATCTCATGGTTTGTGGGCTTGACGCCCAAGTTGGGTTCTGTGCTGGCAGCACAGAACCTGCTTGAGATTCTCTGTCTCCCTCTCTCTCTGCTCCTCCTCCTGCTTGTGCGTTCTCTCTCTCTCTCTCTCTCTCTCTCTCTCAAAATAAACAAATAAACATTAAAAAAATTAAAGAGAGACACAAAGCTCAGAGTTTTCTCAAAAATTTCAGTGTATTTTTAGATAATATTTATGGAAAAAGATTGATAGGAGTGTTTTTTTGTATGGCTAGTAGTTTTTAATTATTAAATTTATTCATTCAGTATCTGGCAAATATATAATTTTAAGTTTGCGTTGGTAGTTGAGCTTTTCTAGCTGCTTACACATATGTGAATGCTAGAGTCATGCGTTATCACACTGAATTGTCAGACTTTGTATTTTCTGTGTAGGGCTGTGATCAGTGATCCAGAACAAAACTTAACCTCCGAGAGACAAGAAAGCATTCATATCGTTCCAGATTCAAAGATGGCACCTCTTCGATTTAGGAAAAGAACGCTACATGAAACTAAGTAAGAAGACTTCACTTATATCAAATGAGGATATAGTATACTATAAATGAATTTTTAAAAATATACTTTTGTGTCTAACTGAAAAGACCTTTTTATTGGCTTATTTTTGCTTTTTTCTATATAAAAGGAAGTGGAATTTTTGGAGTTCAGATCTTGGTTCTGCCAATTTAGGGTATTGGGGTATACTTTGCCCTCTAGGGTTTTTATTAGTAACTTAGGAATGACAGCTACAACCTTAGGAGATAATATATGTGACAATATACAATATAGTAACTGAGACATTTGTATGTGCTGAATCTCATTGATATAATGTATTCAAAGTTAGTATTATTTAAACATTTATTATTATTATTATTATTGTCATTTTGCCTTTTACGTTGTAGCTTATGAAATCTTTGGGCTTTCACAGTTTTGGGGTGCAGTCCACTTAAATTTGTCAACAACTTCACTGGCAGGTGATGGCTCACTTCAGCATCAATAGACACAAAATCCACTGGTTTCTGCAGCAATGCTTTCATATTTTCAGACTGCTGGACATGCCAAGAAGTACTTCTTTAGAACTGTTCTCTTTTGTTTCATTCTTATTTTCTGGAAGGGTGTTTCCATACCTTAAATACTCAAAGGTATTGTGGATTAATTGCCTATGGCTGCTGTGACAAATTACCACACACAGTATTTTAAAGCAACACAAATTCATCCTCTTATAGTTCTGGAGGTCAGAAGCCTAAAAGCAAGGTGTTGACGGGCTGCATTCCTTCTGGAGGCTTCAGGGGAGAATCCATTTTCTTGTCTCTTTCAGCTTCTAGAGGCTGCCTTTATTCCTTGGCTAATGGCCCCTTCCTCCATGCTCAAAGCCAGCAATGGCTGCTCGTCTTTCTTGTTTTTTATCACTCTGACACTGCTCTTCTGTAGTCACAGTATCCCTCTGCTTTCCTCTCATGAAGACACTTGTGACTGCATTGAATCCAGCTGGGTAATTTCAGATAATCTCATCTCAGGGTCTGGAGTCACACATGCAAAGTCCCTTTTATCATATCATGTAATTGTAACATATTTACATGTTCTGAGGTACAGGGTATGAACAACTCTGGAGGGTCATTATTCAGCTAACACATCTAAACTTCTCTTTGTGTTTTTAGAGTTTATTTATTTATTTTGGGGGGGGGGGGGCACAAGTGGCGGGGTGGGGGAGGGGAGAGAATTCCAAGCAGGCTCCACACTGTGGGCACAGAGCCTGACTCCAGGCTTGAACCCACGAACTGTGAGATCATGAGCTAAGCTGAAATCAAGGGTCGGATGCTTAACCAACTGAGCCACCCAGGTGCCCCTAAGTGTTTCTTTTTCTAAAGTAAACTTTTATTGAAATAAAGTATATGTCCACAAAATGTACACAGTTTAAGTGTACAGCAAAGGAATTTCCACAAAGTGAACAATACTCAGGTCCCAAGTTCCTACATCAAGAAATAGAATATTACGAACATCCCAGAAACTCCCTTTGCCTGCCTATCCCCTTCCCCTGCCATAACAGGGTAACCTCTCTGTCCTGATATCATAGATGGTAACTGCCTTATTATAAACTTACTGAAGTCACAAAATTTAGACACTATGTATCTGGCTTCTTTTTGCTCAACATGTTTATGAGTCAACATGTTATGAGTTGTTGTTTGTTTTTGTCTTTTATTCTCACTGTACAGTATTTCATTGTATATAAATATGCCACAGTTTATTTACTCACGATGTTGATGGACATTTGGCTGTTTCAGAGTGGTGCTTCCATGAACTTTGGTGTATGCCTTTTGGTGAACATACGTCCTCGTTTCTGCTCAGTACATACTTAGAAGTGGAATTACTGGACCATTTAGTATCCATTTGTTCAGCTCTAAAAAATAATGCCGAATAGTTTTTCAGAGTGGTGGCTGCAATTAGCACTCCCACCTGTAGCAGTAAGAGGATTCTGGTTCACCACATCTTTGCTGGTGTTCAGTATTGTCAGTGTCTTTCATCTTAGTTCTTATGGGTGTGTTATCAGTATCCCCTTGTATGAAACAGATCTCCTCTTACATGAATCTTCCCTTCAAGTCTGTTGGGTTATCTTCTTTGCATTGATCTGTGGAACTTAATTTATATATTCTTGGTACAAGTCCTTTTTCAGTTATATTTGTTGGACAGATCTTTTCTTCCTCTATGGTCACCTTTTCATTTTCTTGATCAAGTCTTTTGCTGAATAGGAGTTTACTAATTTTGATGTAGACCAGTTTGCCGATCTTTCCACTTATCGTTAGTGCCCTATGTATCTTCAGGAAATCTCTACCTATCACAAACTCATTGTCCCTCTAACTCATAATGCTGCTTATGTCCTAATATATCAAATTATTATAAATGCGTGGTTGGTGTCTAGGCTTTTCCTTTAGTCTCATCTCCCTATTGTGTATTTCTGCACCAATATCATCCTGTCTTAATTGGTATTGCTTTCTTTTAGAGTAATTAGAAAAAAACCTTCAATATTGGCTTGATATACTATGCCCTTTCCTCTTCTATATAAATTTTATTTTATTTATTTTTTAATTTAGTTTTTTAATGTTTATTATTGAAGAGAGAAACAGGGAAAGAGCATGAACAGGTGAGGGGCAGAGAGAGAGGGAGACACAGAATCTGAAGCAGGCTCCAGGCTCCGAGCTGTCAGCACAGAGCCTGACTTGACTTGGGGCTTGACCTCATGAACCATGAGATCGTGACCTGAGCCAAAGTCGGATGCTTATCCAACTGAGCCATCCAGGCACCCCTTGTCAATATAAATTTTAGATTGAGCCTCCTTCAGTGAAAAATACTGTAGTGGTATTAGTTAGAATTACTGAATTCATGGATTTCGTCCTCCCACATTCATTCTTCCTGGAGAAGGAGAAGAGGATTTTGCTTCAGAGTTGGAAGTGGGAATAGCAGGTATAGGGCAGCCCTTCCTCTTCTCTTTTCCTTGGGAGCCAGCTGCCTGCAGAAGCTGCTCAAGGCGTTATATTTTGCAGGGTCCCTACCCACTGGGAATGAGTGGGTTAGTCATATAATACAGTTAGTAATATAATTAGTAATATAGTATGTAGTAATAGTATATAGTATATAGTAATAGTATATAGTATATAGTAATATAGTATATAGTTAGTAACATAATAAAATACATATTTTAATCTTCATCTGCCTGATTCTTATTTTGTATTGGTTAAGAACTTGGGTAGAAGTGTTTGGTACTACTTATTGGATACTTAAAACCTTAGCATAGAACTTTCCATTTATGATGTAAATGTTTTATTCTTTTATCTTTTCACGGAGACTCTAGACTCTAAGCTGCTGTTACTTCAACCTATCACTGTTAAATTGAATTCTGTTCATCTTTGAGAAGCAATCTAATATAATGGTTATGAGCAAGGTTGGGCTCTGTCATGCAGTAATTATATGACTCTGTAAAATTTATATGTAAGATGGGATAATAGTACTTCATGAAGTTATTGCAAGCATTGAATGGACCAATGCACATTTAAGTGATTTTAATAGTGACTGATGTCTAGAAGTTCTCAATAAATAGTAGCTGTTATTGCTGTTTTTTTCTCGGCATTTAGAATTTTTTTAGGCATGTAGTGAGCATTCAATATGCACATTAATACTAATGGATTAAGTTGAATCGAGATGACCAATTTTTCATGGCTCCATCCTGTGTTCACAAACTCCTTTGGTCCATAGGCTCTTGTTGTGTGTATCCTGTTTACCTTTCATAGAGACTTAGATTTTATTGAAGTATTACTTTTCAAGATCCCAATGACTCATATACTCACTTACTATTTACATTATTGCAGTTTCATTACACCTGCAGTTTTATTGGAGTGCCAAAAAATTATTTAGGAAGGAGAGTAAAGACACATGACCAATTTTTCAGATTTCTTAATATAAAGGAGATTACTAGTAACAGGGTTCCAAAGTGTGGATATTTGGGTTTTATTTCATATTATTAAACAAAATTTTAGGACTAGCAATCTTCGTGAGGTCATTTTGTGCTTCATGAAGGCCATAAGATTAAATAAGCAGCCTAGGGTCTTACAGCTAGACCTCTAGCAAGGCTGGAGCCTCTTCCAGCATCCTTTTCCATTATTCTGTTATGTTGGTAAGGAATGTTTTCAGCTGCCCGTGACTGAAAACTTGACGGATGGTGACCTAAACAAGTCAGGATTTATTTTTCTTACATGACCAGTTGCCTGGAGGTAGTGGTTGGTTTTAGGCCAGTGGCTCAGTGATGACGCAGCTCTGGGCTGGCTTTCTCAGGATCTTATTGGCCTTTCTGACATGCTTGCCTGATGGCTGGCATCTTTTCCCTGCCACATTCACAGGCAGGAACTGTTCCCATGCCACACTCTGTCACCAGGGTAAAAGAAAGTCTTTCCTGGAAGTTATTGGCAGGACTTTGTCCCTTAGTTACCTCTAATGGAAAAAAAACTAAAAAAGCAAATTTTATGGTTGGAGGGAGGCATAGAACAGGGTTAGAAATGGCTGCAGGTAGGACCAGTTACAAATGTGCTGTTTACTTGTGTAGCACTTTGATACTATACATTCAAATAGAAGTCATTCATGTGTTATACACTGCATCTCAGGGTTATTTCCTCCGAGTCGGCTTCAGTGAGCACTCAAAATGCGGGGTGAGGGGGGGGGGTGGTTATAACTTCGTCTTCATTCTGTGCGTTTCAAAATATCAACGTAACTTTTTCTCATACTTCATCATTTACATCAAGTGTAGTGTAAGTAACTTTAAAATAATTATTGACCAGTGTATTTCTTAACAGGATAAGAACCCATTCTACATTAACTGAAAACATGCTTTCCCACAAAGTACAGTTTGATGGTAGGATCATATCAAGGTAATTGTGATTTTATTAAACTTCTAATTCTATAATTGTAAAACATAGTCTCTTCAAATAGAAATAAGAATAATGAGATTAGTTAGTTTTGTCACATTTAAATAAAAAATGTGAATGTAGAATGAACATTTTAGGTAATATATATTAGTATGTTGCAAAAATTATAGGAACTAGGAACCTACAAATAAGACATTTTAATTAGAAGTTATTTAAAAAGTGATTTTAAAATGTCTTTCGAAAAGAAACTTAGAAATGAATTTTTTGATGATATATACTACTAGTAGAAAATGGTAGACCATTTAAAAATTAACCTTTATGTAAGCTGCTTTATTTGATTTTCCTTTAATGGTTTAAATCACTAGTAGATTATTGATAGATACAGGAAAGTGAGAAGAAAGATGATTCTCACATATGTTATCTCTGTCTTATAAACTTCTAATCATACAAAATGCTGATGTTCTTTGTGTATATTAAAGGTGAAGTGTGTTTTTAAAAGTTACCATGTTTGTTTAGTGATTTTAAACTTTATTTTTTCCTTAAAAATTTTTTTCTAATGTTTATTTTTGGGAGAGAGACAAAGATAGAGACAGAGATAGAGACAGAGCATGAGCAAGGAAGGGAGGGCAGAGAGAGAGAGAGAGAGAGAGAGAGAGAGAGAGAGAGAGACAGAATCCGAAGCAGGCTCCAGACTCTGAGCTGTTAGCACAGAGCCCGAGGTGGGGCTCAAACTCACAAACCGTGAGATCGTGACCTGAGCCAAAGTTGGACGCTTAACTGACTGAGCCACCCAGGAGCCCCTTAAACTTTCTATTAATGGCAAACATGAAAATGTCTATCCTTGAGTGGCTTCTTGCAAGGTCAACATTTAAAAAAAATTTTCACTTTATCTTAAAATTCTATGTCAAAATAGTAATCTAAATTGTAATATATCTATATTCATGTCAGTGTAAGGTAAAGCTTTTTCTCCATCCAAATCTTACTTAAACTGACACTTCAGCAAGCCAGGTCGTTTCCCCTGTAGCTGTCCATAATGCTTGCTCTTTGGCATACATTCAAGAGAGTAATGCTATTCTTTGACATACACAATTCTGGTTTATTATTTAATTTGAAAATTAGCCGATTTGAAAATCCTTAATATTATTCTATTTTTCTAGAAATGGACGTGATGCTTGCAGAGAGCTGATTGGGTTCTTTTTTACTCATGACCAGTCCCTAACAATTTATGAATATCGGCAATTTGGGAAGAATAGGTATGCCATAAAACATTGTTACAACTCTCAAGATGATGACTTCTGAGAGAATCTGACTAACTTTGCACTTTTGTCATTTAACTTCTAGAACAAATGTGCTTCCTTTTATTCAAAAAAACATTTATAGTCATCAGTGTGGACGAAGAAAAGGAAAACAATACCAACTTGGTGATTTTTATATTGTAAGTTAAGTATGTATGTATGCCAATGTTTTAATACCAGATGTTGAATTTTGTAGGATCCTGTGGGGGTGGAGGAACAGGGTTTCTAGTTTTCAATTTATTACCTCTACTCTTTACAGGGCAGGGGCATTTGTGTGAGTGGCTAACGGTTGCTCTTTCCCCAGGAGGTTCTGCCTCTCAGGTCCAGATCCTGGTGGCCTGAATGTAAGCATAGCATTTATTCCCCGTAACACTCTACCGTTCCCCACAAATCTGAGATATAAGTTTGGGAGAACTTGTCTCTTGGTACTTTTAAGGCCTTCAAGGCTGTGCCACTAGGTATGTGGCTACTTCAGTAGTACCAGGAGTAATGCATCTCATAATTGCAGGCTTATCTCCTGAAGATGCATGTTTTTCTCTGTATAGAGGGATACTTGGCCTCTGGAGCTGTCATATATCTGATAGTTAGCTTATCCTCCTTGTGATTTCCCCACCTCACACAACTACTGACTTATGGTGTATAACAAGGATTCCCTAGAATGGGTTGGTCTTCGGTAATATTACAATTTGTGTAGTGCTCTTAAATTTTGTTTTGTATTTATTTTTGTTTTTAAAGTAAGCTCTACGCTCATTGTGGGGCTTGAACTCATGACCCTGAGATCAAGAGTCGCGTGCTATGTGGACTGAGACAGCCAGGAGCCCCTAGTGCTCTTAAATTTTAAATTACTATGTTTATATTATCTCAAATGTAGCACTATCCACAGTGACCATCCAGGTAACATATATACTCATAGGATAAACATTGGAGATAGAACAGTGAATAAGTTAAGTCAGTTTCCTACTTTCATGGAGCTTACACTCTAATGGGAAATACAGTCAAAAAGGAGGGCTGGATAGGAGGGTCAATGATTCAGTTTTGTTGGGTCAAAAGAGGCTTCCTGGAAAAAGCGCCATCCAACATTGACCTAGAAAAGGAATTAGCTAGGCTGGGATAAGTAGATAGGAGAGGAAAGGCTTCCAGGTGGAGGAGACAGCTCGTGCAAAGAACAAAAGCATGAAAGAACATGGCTTATTTGGAGAACCGGAAGTAGTTAGCTGGCTGAACTTTAGTTCAAGTTAAGAGTTGGCAAGAGAGGAGTCAGAGCTTATTAACAGTAGACTTATATTAAAGAGTTATCTAAAATGTATTGGGGAGTCATTGAAAGATGATAGGTGGATGGAACAAGGGGAGCTGACATTATCTGTTTTGTGACTTAGAAAGATCTTTCTAGTTACAATATGGGGAATGGATTGAAGACTAGTAGAAAGAACCAGATTGGACTGAATGATATTAATTAGGAAGGAGGTAACGGCAACCTGAATTAGGCAAGTGGCTGTGTCTCTGAAGCTAATTAGAAAAAAAATTTAAAGTCTTCAGGAGGCAGAATCAATAAGATGTTGTGACTAGTTACATGAGGAGTTGGGGTGAGGAAAAACTTTACATCTTAAACTTGGATTAAATAAATACACTAGACATATGTCAGTCTAGCCTGCTTCTTGAGATCTAGAGAACATCAACTCCAAATCCCATTTCACAACCTGCAGACAGAACGTTTCACGTCTATCCCCAAATTAAAGTTACCTCTTGCTTTGAGCTGCTGCTTTAATGATTTAGTGTAGTTTATGATTTATTCTCACTATCCCTGTTCTGTATTACTTGAACCAGATGTGGAACTCTGCTGCCTTTTATGATTTCCAAGAAACAAATGGGGTGGAGAGGAGAAGGAAGAAAGAGAAAAGAAAGCAAGGAGGGAGAGAGAGGAACAGAGGAATGAAGGAAGGAAAGTAGGAAAGAAAAAGGGGAGGGAAAGAACGAAGGGAGCATCTGGGTGGCTCAGTCGGTTGAGTGTCTGACTTCGGCTCAGGACATGATCTCGGGATCTGTGAGTTCGAGCCCCGCATTGGGCTCTGTGCTGACAGTTCAGAGCCCGGAGCCTGCTTCGGATTCTGTGTCTCCCTTTCTCAGCCCCTCCCTGGCTTGTGTTCTGTTTCTCTGTCTCTCTCTCAAATATAAATAAACATTAAAAATATTAAAAATTAATAAATAATTCATCTGTTAATTTCTTTAGGGAGCAAACTTGACATTTTTGAGTTCTGATCATCCCAGACTTCCAGAAAGCATAAAACAAAACACATTACTTATACTTCGAATCACTAATATTGATCAGATAGCTTTGGATTCTCTCAAGTAAGTAAAATATGCACTTGTCATTTTGAAAGTAAGTGAAAACACTATTTTTTATGATCTTAAAATGATATTCTGTTCTAAAGCATTTTGACTTTAGTTAAGGTTTATATTTTCGAAAAACAAAGCATAGATATATTTGACTCCTTTATGTGCTATATTGTACTCAAATACACTTTATGTGTGGGAATAGTTAAATAAAGATAAAAAATGTCCCATTTTCTGTTAAAGGTATTTTATTAATTTGCCTGTGTTATATCACCTTTATTTTACCAAACGCCACCGAAGTTATCAATTTTAAAATGTAGGCTACAGTACCATATTATAATGTTTCCCACATTTTTAGTGTCATGCTTTTTTTTTTTTTAGCACTTGCTTATAGTATTCATGGATTGATGGTATACGTAATGAAAAAAAAAGTGGTATGAATCAAAAAGTGCTTTTAAATGAATTTGAGTTTTTTAAATCACAGAATATTTATTACGTAAAACATACATTTTAAACAGATTTTATTTTAGAGAGAGAGAGAGACAGAGAGGATCTTAAGCAGGCTCCACACTCAGCACAGAGCCCAACTTGGGGCTCGATCCCATGATCCTGGGATCATGACCTGAACCGAAATCAAGAGTTGGACACTCAACCAACAAAGCCACCCAGGTGCCCCCACACATATATTACTCATATATATTTTATAATATATATGTATGAACATGTCAATTGCAATATATATTATTTATATATGCTTTATAATATATATTCTGATTTAAAAGAATTAAAATTCATTTAAAAACATGTTTTGATGCAAAGTATTGTGTATAAATAACATGTTTTATATATATTCATATTTATATATAAGTACTATATATAAATAAAATGTAAAATGTGTATAATCAGAATATATAATAAAATATATATTTTTAAATCACAGAATATATATGTATATATGCTGTTCTTGCTGAGTGTTTCTTCGTGCTATATGCATATCAGAATGACAATAATTGGTGTACTGTGTGTGTGAGGACACATCCCATAAATTGGCTAAAGGAAGTCTGTTTCTTTGTTATGTGCTGTATTGCTCAAATGCATGCAATTTTTTTTTCGCTTTTTAAAATAACGTTTTTACATTTTGTACTTTGAAAGTTAAAACTGATTTTACATTTTATAGTTTTAATAATTTTAAAAGAACATTGAAATAGCTACAAAATGAATATAATGTTTAAAGGTAGTTCTTGGAAGGTTTAAGGATTTTAGCTCTTGATTTAGCATACTCAGTCTTCTGGGGATTAAAGCAGCAAGCAGAGGTGGGACTTGACTAATCTCTAAGCACTCTTCCAACTCTGAGAGTTTCTTTGAATCCGGAACAGGAAAGAGCTTAGAGTTTCCATACTCAAAATTGCAAAAGAATACATTTTTATCATCGTGAACATGTCAATTGCAGAACTGATTCTGTGGAACGTGAGGATATAACCAGTCAAGAAGCCAATGATAGGCTTGTCTTAAAGGCCATTCAAGGTATGTATCATTACCATAGTCTCAAGTCTTCAACCATTCTCTTTGCAAGCAATACTTTCCAGACATTTCTTAGTTTTATAACAAAGGCACTTGATTTATATTTCTTATTTGCTTATTTTGCTTATATTTTATGATATATATATATATATTTACAAATATTTTTAAGATTTCTTCTATTTTAAAGATTCTGTTTAATTGAATAATATTATATGAATTATGATCTTAAGAATTTTATTTTATTTTATTTTTTTATTTTAGAGAGAGAGCACACATGAGCAGGGGAATGGGGCAGAGGTGGGGGACGGGGGACAGAGATAGAGAGAGAATCCCAACATGAATCTCATTCCCAGTGTAGCATTTTTTCTTTTACAAGAGGCTACTATAAATCTCTTTAGGTTATCATCTAATGTATAGGACAAGTATTATATTACAAAAATCACTTATATTTTATTCATTTCATGGATAAAACCCATACTATCTAGTACTTTCTATAATTCTTTTGTTGACCATTAGCATGATAGATGGTTCTTCATCCCCTTGTTTTCAATCTGAAGGTGCCTTTAGGTCTCAAGTGGGTCTCTTATAAACAGCATATAGATGGATCTTGTTTTCTTATCCATTCTGTTACCCTATGTCTTTTGATTGGAGCGTTGAGTCCATTGACATTTAGAGTGAGTACTGAAAGATATGAGTTTATTGCCATTATGATGCTTGTAGAGTTGGAGTTTCTGGTGGTGTTCTCTGGTCCTTTCTAATCTTTTGTTGTTTTTGGTATTTATTTATTTATATATATATTTTTTCATCTTTTGTCCCCTCAGAGAGCCCCCCTTAAAATTTCTTGCAGGGCTGGTTTAGTGGTCACAAACTCCTTTAATTTTTGTCTGGGAACCTTTTTATCTCTCCTTCTATTTTGAATGACAGCCTTGCTGGATAAAGAATTGTTGGCTGCATATTTTTCTGATTCAGCACATTGAATATATCCTGCCACTCCTTTCTGGCCTGCCAAGTTTCTGTGCATAGGTCTGTTGCAAACCTGATTTGCCTTCCCTTATGTGTTAGGGATTTTTTTTTTTTCCCTTGCTGCTTTCATGATTCTCTCCTTGCCTGAGTATTTTGTGAATTTGACTATGATATGCCTTGTTGATGGTCGGTTTTTGTTGAATCTAATGGGGGTCCTCTGTGTTTCCTGGATTTTGATGTCTGTGTCTCTCCCCAGGTTAGGAAAGTTTTCCGTTATGATTTGCTCACATAACCCTTCTACCCCTATTTCTCTCTCTTCCTCTTCTGGGACCCCTATGATTCTGATGTTGTTCCTTTTAATGAGTCACTGATTTCTCTAATTCTTAAATCATGCTCTTTTGCCTTAATCTCCCTCTTTTTTTCTGCTTTGCTCTTCTCTGTAAGTTTGTCCTCTATATCGCTGATTCTCTGTTCTGCCTCATCCATCCTTGCCGCCGCTGCATCCATCCATGATTGCAGCTCAGTTATCGCATTTTTAATTTCCTTCTGGCTATTTTTTACTTCTTTTATCTCTGCAGAAAGGGGATTCTAATCTATTTTCGACTCCAGCTAGTATTCTTATTATCGTGATTCTAAATTCTGGTTCAGACATCTTGCTTATATCTGTGTTGGTTAAATCCCTGGCTGTCATTTCTTCGTGCTCTTTCTTTTGGGGTGAATTCCCTCATTTTGTCATTTTAAAGGGAGAAAAGGAATTAATGAGGTAGAAAAATTGAAATAAAAAAATTGAAATTAAAAAGTATTAAAATTAAAAAATTAAAACCACACACACACAAGTAGAATAGATGATGCTAGATCCTCGGTGGGTGTTGAAAGAGGTTTTGACAGGTTAGAGAAAAAAAAAGGGAGGAAAAAAAAGGAAATCGTTTGAGAATTTGAAAAAACGAATACACTGAAGTATACTAAAATGAGATGATGGGGGTAAAATAGAATTTGAAAAAATATACACAAAAGTGAAGAATATAGTAGAAAAAAATTAAAGAAAGATATTTTTAATAAAAATAAAAAATGAATGAATTTTTCATTCTCTGTATTTAAGAAAAAAATGAAAAAGACAAAAAAGGTAAAAAAAGTCATTTGAAAATTTGAAAAAGTGAATACACTATAGTAGACTAAAAATGATGGAAGTAATATAGAATTTGAAAAAATTTACATAAAAGCAAAAACAATAGTAATAAAAATTAAATAAAAATATTTTTAAAAGAAATTGAAAGTAAAAATGAAGGTTTTCTCTTTCTGCATTCAAGAAAAAGAAAAGAAACAAAAAAGAGAAAAAGAAAAAAGAAAGAAAAAAAGTAAATTGTTAGAAAATTTGAAAAGGTGAATACACTGAAGTAGACTAAAATAAAATGATGGAAGTAAAGTAGAATTTGGAAAAATTTACACAAAAGTAAAAAATATAATAATAAAAATTAAAGAAAGATATTTTTAATAAAAATTGAAAATAAAAATCATTTTTTTCTCTTTCTGTATTCAAGAAAAAGAAAAGAATTGTAAAAGAGAAAAAGAAAAAAGAAAAAGAAAATTGAATAGATGAGCCTGCTAACAGATTGAAGTAGGACTGAAATTGCTTCCTTTTCCCCTAGAAGTCAGTCTATGTAGCTCTTTATACTCCATAAATTAAGCTGGTGGTGAGACTTGTGTTCTTGAAGAGTGAAGTTGGCCCAGTTGGGCGGGGCTCAGTGTAACAGCTCTGCTCTCCACTAGATGGCACTGCTAGCCTACTGGGGTGGATTGTTGCAGAGCTCGTAGGTGCGTATGCACATGTGCATGCATGGAACCGGTGAAAATGGTACTACCCAGCTACCCAGTTTGCGCACTCGTTCTCAGTCTTCAGCTTTCATCCACTCCCTGCTTTTTCACTCTCTGTGACCAGGCCCCAGGCAGTACCTCTCTCCCAAGTTTTGTCTCAGATGTGGCTGTTTTCCCCAGCCCCTTACTTCCAAAGGACTGCAACTTTGACCCGTTCCGCCCCTCCGCAGGAGGGTCTCATTGAGCAATGGCCAAATGCCGGCTGCACCAGGAACCCCTGCCAGACCCTGCTGCTGCCGGTGCCCCGAGACTGAGGCTAGGTGCCAGCCCACCGCAGAAAAAGTTCGCGAGATAGTGTTGCAGCAGCTTTTCAGGGATTGTGGAAAATCAACAACACACGTCTGGCACCAGGCTTCACCCTTAATGACCTTGTTCTAGCAACAGCAAATGTGGCTGTTCTCTGGGGTCTGCTGGGACCAGGTGGCTTCAACAGTCTCTACCAAATGTCCTTCCAGCAGTGGAACCGCTTTTCCCCATGTGGCCTGAGATCCTCCTGGACCCCACTCTGCTCCTGGGGATTCGCCCTTCCCACCAGAGCACCGCCAGGTGTCGAGCTGTGGAGTTGCAGCCTTTGTGCTCCCCTTGTTTACAGTCTTAATGGAATTTAAACCCTCTCCTTTCTCCTTTCTCCCTTTTTAGTTTAGTCCCTGCGTCTGTTTCCAACTTTACACTTTCTCTCCAGCTGCTTTTGGGGAGGGGTGCTTTTCCCATATTCTTCCCCCGCCCCAGTCTCTGTCCTCTCTGTGCCCGCAAAAGTGGTTCTCTACCTTTCATGACTTCTTGCTCCCCAAGTTCAGCTCTCTGTGCTGTGTACCTGCTGAATTCTGTGGTTTAGGTTGTGCAGATTGTTGTGTTAATCCTCCAGTCAGTTTTCTATGTGTGTAGGATGGTTTGGTGTTGGTCTGGCTGTATTTCATGGACACGAGACACACAAAAAGCTTCCATGCTGTTCCACCATCCCGGTTCCTCTCCCCTAGTACTTTCTATAATTCTTATATTTGGTGTGCCTGGGTGACTCAGTTGAGCCCAGTTGGGTGTCCGACTCTTTGGCTCAGGTCATCATCCCAGGGCTGTGGGTTTGAGCCCTGCTCCAGGCTCTGTGCTGACAGTACAGAGACTGCTTGGGATTCTCTCTTTCCTTTTCTCTCTGCCCCTCCCCTGCTTGCTCGCACTCTCTCTCAAAATAAATAAATAAACATTTAAAAAAGGTGGTCTGGGATTGGTGCTTGAACTGTCCAATATTCTTCATGTTATTGTTAGTAAATTATTTTCTCTGTTCTGTCACGGTCAGTACAATATTTGTCACTGCTGAATCCAGTGACGTGTGTTCTTGTGTTCAATAACTGCTCTAGTAACGTTAACTATATTTTCTTAAGTAATGATGGCACAAACTGTGTTAAATGTAATCACTGACCCACAAAGAGAATTTAAGAGCTTGAGAATATAACGTAAACATTCCTAGAAGAAAGGGCTACTTTAAATGTGTAAGTATACGATAACATTCCAAAGCCTTGATGCTATTTAATATGTAAATTATCCTTTAATGATTTCAAACTATTTTAGAAATGTTGAACTCATGGTTTTGGAGTGACTGGCCTGGCATCAATTTTATCATTATGGGAAAGAGGAAAGAGATTAAAGATGTGGGATCATTAGATGAAGAGGAAGCCTGGAAAGTAGAAACTAAGATTTTATTTGTAACACTTGGATTATTTTCATCCTGATAAAGTGACCCATTATTTTTGTATATTTAAAATACAGCACTCCACCACACAGTGGTGCTATAGTTCTAGTATATTTACATGTGATTTTGTATATAACACTCTACTAAAAGCATTCTATTTTCCAAACTCTTTTGTCAGTCACACGCACCATCTAGTTGCATAAGCAAGCACATCCCTTGTATCACTTACATCACCTTTAATTCTACAAGAGAGACAATTGTAATTTGATACATTTATACATTAGACCAGTTGGTTTCCATCTCTCTTCTTCCTGAACAGATGCGCTAAAGGAACAGCTACACAAAAGAGGTGTTCGCATTTTGACTGGATTGGGGAAATACCTCCAACAACTGGACAAGGAAGGAACTGGACTTTTAACTAAGGCAGATTTTAAGCAAGCTCTAAAAGCATTTCACTTAGAAGTGTCCGAAAACGTACGTGCTGCAATGAGTAACATAGTATTCTTAAGTGGTATTATTCATTTTTCTAGTGAGATTTTTAGTAGTTCATGTGTCTCTTTCTTTGTGCCTCATAATCAGTGTTAGCCATCAAGCGACAAGTCCTGTTGATTTTTTAAAATTTCAATATTTATTCCTCCCTCCTACATTTAACAAGAGCCTAATAAGAAGGCATTGTTCTCAGCTCCGAGAACACATACTCTGTACTCTTAAGGTCTTCATAATCAAAGGAAAAGAAATATAAATAGATTACAAAACACTTTATGTGTTAAGTGGAGAATGCTTTCAGAACACATGGGATATTTTCCAAGCCAGCTTATGGGGAAGGGGAGGGAAGATCATAGGACTCCTGCAGGAGGGTATAGCTGAGCTGTCTTTTGAAGGATGAGGAAGAACTAAACAGACAAGAGGGGAGGAGGAGTGTGGATCAGACAGCGAGACCACAAAAGGAGAAGCACATGTAAAGGCATGAAGGGGAAAGGGAGTATAGCCTGTTCTAGGAATGGCAGAAGGTCACCCTCACACCTCCTACCCTGACCAGAGCCATTACCATCCTGTTCTCTATGCTGGGGGCAATCTCCCACTAGACCTTTGCATGGCTGGATTTTCCATCATTCAGGCTTTCTCTACTGGGAGCGCTACGCTGATAGCCCTGCCTAAAGGAGTACCCCATCCGATCTCCAGTCCTCTCTATACCATTTCCTATTTTATTTTCTTCATACCACTTTGCAAGTATTCTCTGGCTTTTCTGGCAAGTAGGGTATAAGTTCCATCTGGGAAGACACCAAGGTGCTTCTGGTTTCCTGCTGTAACACCTCAAGTAGAACCTTGCTTACGCAAGTGCTGAGTAAACAGGCGACGCATTAGTTTACATGGGTAGATATATGAATGGAAGGAACAGAGAAGAATGGAGAGAAATAAGCCTAGCATGGTTCTATTACATTAAAGCCTTTCATGCCATCTTAAGTTTGATTTTATTCTAATAGCGAATTTGAAACACGACTACCTCAAGGGTTTCGGATAAGGGATTCTCTTGCGTTGCTCTCTTGCTTCAAACGGTCTTGTCACAAGACGTAGTATATTTTGTGGAGGGAACACTGGAAATTGAATTTATGAGGTATAGATTCAAGTTCTGGCCTTACTACTTCAACTGTGTGATTTTGAATTGGTCTTTTAACTTTTCTAATTGACAGGTTTTGCCTGGACAATCCACAGATACTACCTCTAGTCAGAGTTGCTTTGAACCTCAGATGAGAAAATTTCATGGGAACATGCCTTATTTTTATTATTTTTTTAAGTTTATTTATTTATTTTGAGAGACAGAGAGAGTGATTGGGAGAGGGGTAGAGAGAGAGGGGGTGACAGAATCTCAAGCAGGCTCCTCGCTGCCAGCACAGAGCCAGATGTGGGACCTCAACCCACGAAACCGTGAGGTCATGACCTGCGCTGAACCATGAATCAGATGCTTATCAGACTGAGCCACCCATCAGGTGCTCCCTCAGGCTTATTGTTAAACTTAACAGCACATTTTACAGATACTTAAAGTCAGTCGTGTACTGGGCATTATGACAGACAAATTAGGAGTAGTTGAAAAGTGGTGGGGGGCAGGGCATCTTAAGATAGAGTTTTCTTATTAGAATTTTAGTTGAAAAAATTAGGAGGAAGTGGAAGGGAATTTTTTTTGAGTACCTATTTGTGAATCACCTTGCTAGATAACCCTATTTACATTCTCACTTAAAGCTAACAACTTGACTGAAACATTTAAAGTATATTTACCTTAGTTTAAGAAAACCTCATGCTGTAATTTCTTTGTTGTTAGGAATTCTGTGAATAGAATATTCTACTAAGTTGTGCATTTGCAAAGGAATAAGTGGCAATGGTAAAATGAACCAACTGACATAAGGTTTGACTCAAAATAACACCTTTCAGTGTGAGTTATGGAATAATATTGGAGCCATTCAAATCTTCTGTACTTTGAAACATGAAGACTAGAAATACTGTGAGTGGTCCTGATGCTTTTGAAGCATTACAGAACCTGAAGTGACATTAAACATATCCAGTGTTCAACTTCAAGTAAATGGTAAACATTTTTGTATAGAAAGGAATTGAACTGAAAATATAAATTTGTGACATTGCCACTCCTAAATGGTCCTTAACTTACAGAACTGTTTACCACAGAGTCCCTTTAAATAGCTTTCTTAGTGCCTTTGTAAGCTTTCTTAGTGCTTTTGTTTGGGTTTACATATAACTTTTTCAAAGTTTTAAATTAAGTCTGTTACCTTGTCTGGGGCTAAAGTAGTAACAAAATACTATTGAGATGAGTTTTGTTGTGGTCATATACAATTTCAAGGTGAAACAACGGTATCTGTGTGAATATTTTTAGGATTTTGAACCTGCGTGGCAAATTCTGAATGGCAGTGACAGTGGCAAGGTTGATTACGGAGAATTCAAACGTGCCATTATTGGTGAAATGAATGAGTACAGGAAATCATTTGTTCGAAAGGTAACTTTGTTAAGTAATCTTTTAAATTTTTTTTTTAACGTTTATTTATTTTTGAGACAGAGAGAGACAGAGCATGAACGGGGGAGGGTCAGAGAGAGAGGGAGACACAGAATCTGAAACAGGCTCCAGGCTCTGAGCTGTCAGCCCAGAGCCCGACGCGGGGCTCGAACTCACGGACCGCGAGATCGTGACCTGGCCGAAGTCGGACGCTTAACCGACTGCGCCACCCAGGCGCCCCTGTTAAGTAATCTTTTAAATAGTTACTTTTAATAAGGTGTTGGTCTCATTTAAAAAAAATTAATGTTTATTTATATTTGAGAGAGAGAGAGAGAGAGAGAGAGAGAGAGAGAGAGAGAGCAAGCGGGGGAGGGGCAGAGAGCAAGGGAGACAGAATCTGAAGCAGGCTCCAAGCTCTGAGCTGTCAGCACAGAGCCCCGATGTGGGGCTCAAACTCATGAACCATGAGATCATGACCTGAGTCAGACTCTCATTCAACTGAGCCACCCAGGTGCCGCAGGGCTCAGTATTTTAAAACGTCATTGAATTACTATTGAACATATTTGTTTATGTATGTATGTATGTATGTATGTATGTATTTATGTATGTATTTATGTATTTATGTATTTATTTATTTAGAGTGCATGCAAGCAGGGGAGGGGCAGAGAGAGAATAAGAGAGAACCCCAAGCAAATTCTGTGCTGACAGCACAGAGCCTGACTCAGGGCTCAATCCTGTGAACCATGAGATCATGACCTGAGCCTAAATCAAGAGTCAACCCTTAACTGACTAAGCTACCCAGAAGCCCCACCATTGAACATGTTTTAAATCCCTTTACCTGTCATTTGTTTTGGGTTTAGTAAAATACAAGCAAATACATACATATACAAATCTACCAGGATAAAGCAAAATAATTTATACATATGTTTAAGAACAGATTTTATTTTATTAAAAAAATTTGTTTTAACATTTATTTAGTTTTGAGAGACAGAGAGAAACAGAGTGTGATTGGGGAGAGGCAGAGAGAGAGGGAGACACAGAATCTGAAGTAAGCTCCAGGCTCTGAGCTGTCAGCACAGAGCCTGATGCAGGGCTCGAACTCATGGACCGCATCAGATGCTTAACTGACTGAGCCACCCAGGCACCCCAGGAACAGATTTTGAAAGGAAAATAAAATCTGAAATCAAATTTTGGTTCACAGACTACTAGTTCCATAAATTGCTGGCTCCATAAATGACTAGTTATATGACTATCTATTATTAAATATTTTTGAGCCTTAGTTTTGTCTCATAGGGTTGGTATAAGGATTAAACGTAAAATCTTAGCGTTGTGCTATTCCAGTGTCAAGGCTCAATACATGTTATCTTAAAATGATGACTGGTTTTATAATCTCTGGTTTTATAATATGTTTCTCTGGTTTTATAATATGCATGTTAGCTGTCCAAATGAAGATTAAAATGACTGTGTTAAATTGGAATTAAAAACAGGACCCCTGGGGTGCTTGGGTGGCTCAGTCATTTAAATGTCTGACTCTTGATTTCAGCTCAGGTCATGGTCCCATGGTTCATGGGATCGAGCCCCACATTGGGTTCCCTGCTTCCACTGTGGAACCTGCTTGAGATCCTGTCTCTCTCTGCCCCTTCCCTGCTCACACACTCTCCCTTTCAAAATAAATCAAATAAATAAATAAATAAATAAATAAATAAATAAATAAATAAAACTTTAAAAAACAAAACAAAGCAGAAACCCCGATTTTTATAGGAAACTATGTATTACTTAGGTTCTTGTAGCCATTTTGGGAGCATATTTTGAGCAATGTAGTTTGTTTTTCTTTTGTATATGTACCTATTAGAAAATGTAGATGTATCTAATATTGGAAACAAAGCTATTGTGTACAGAAAAGTATAAAAAATTACATCAGGCGTAAATCTGAAATAGAAAATATCAAAATCTTTATCTTTACTGGCTAAAAGACACAATAAAAACTTTATGTTAAATGAATTCAGCACATAATATTTATAAATGTGCATTTATTTGTACTTTACATATCTGGTGACAGGTTTGAATATCAGGCATAGAAATTGGAGGGTTGTCTCTTTCATAAATCTTGATTCTGGGAATAGAGGACAAAAATAGAGTTATAAAGTGCTATACTAATTTGCCAGGGCTACCATAATATCCCAGACTGTGTGACTTAAATAACAGAAATTTATTATCTTGCTCTTGTGGAGGCTAGGAGTCCAAGATCAAGGTGTCAGCAGGTTTGACCTCTCCTGAGGCCTCTCTCCTTGACTTGTGATTTGCTGTCTTCTCTTTATGTGCTCAAATCCTCAGTCTGGTTGTCTGTGTCCTAATCTCCTCTTCTTATGTGGACACCAATTATACTGGATTAGGGCCCACCCTAGTGATTTCATTTTAACTTAATTACTTCTTTAAAGGCCCCATCTCCAAATAGCAGTCACATTCTGAGGTACAAGGTGGGCTAGGGCTTCAACACATGAATTGGGGTAGGACATAGTTCAGCCCATTACAGGTGCCGTATTTCTGTGAACACATTATTGTGAATAAACAAACTTGATTCCAGTTTCGACTCTTTTGCAAATGTGGGCTGTTGTTTTGAGTTGGTTTTGTGTTTTTATATACCCACTCCTCCATAAAATATTTTGTATTTTATGATACTAAAAATTGTATTGAGTTAGAGGAGCAATAAAACAACTGGCATATCAAAAGGTAGTGTTAAATTTTAGGAAATAGAGTAACACGGGCCATTTAAAAAGTATTGCAATTTCTCATTGATTTTAGTGGTGAATATTTACATGTTCACTTTTTGAATCAAAGTAATTTGTCTTGGCCATTTATCAGTTTCCTGTAAATTCTAGAGCGGGAAGTTACCAGAAATGTCTTTTACTCAACTCTAAAGTGTGAGAGGAAAGCCAGTGCAACAGAGGTAAGGTTACTTTTTCAAGGTCAGGGTTCCAGGAAGTGGTAGAAATAATACTCCAGCGTAGGTTACCTAACATCTTGCTCTAATATCTTCCTGGATTCATGATGCTTCCTTCATATACCAGTTTAGTACTTTTAAACTGGCTTGTTTAGAGATCATAAATAACGTTCTTCAGAATAGGGAGTTAGATTCTCATGTCTAATGAGTTTATAGAAAAAAAAATAACATCTCTCTTTATTTAGGTCTTTATGAAACTGGATTTCAACAAAACTGGCTGTGTGCCTATTATAGACATAAGAAAATGTTATTGTGCGAAGAAGCATCCTCAAGTAATTTCAGGTAATAAATTATGAGTCAAAATGCATTACATTTCTAAAATGTTAGTTAATAAAAGTAATATCTTTAAATCATATTAACTTACAGTGTGGACTTGAGGCTATTAAGGGAGGAAATAAACAATTATTTTTTAAACCAGAAACATAAGAGTCATTTGGCCTTCCTTTAAAAATTCATAGGTCTATTGTCTTCTTATTTTTTTCTCTGATATTCATAAACTGAGATTGAACTTTTATTTCTTACTGAGGAGATGGCGAGGAATCTGAGTTGGAACAGGATAGATTTAGAGGACAGATAATTACATGTGCAAGTTCTCTGAGTTGGTTTTACTGTATCTGCTTACACTTGAAGATTTAAGGCAGAAAGTGAACGTCTTTCTCTAGGAATGGAGGTATACATGTAATGAGCATACATATGTTTGTCAAAATTTGAGCATCTAGAAAATACATGCATACATCCAGGTGGTCCCCAACTTCGGATGGTTCAACTTAACGGTATTCTGACTTCATGATAGTGTGAAAACATTAACTGTTTAGTAGAAACTACTTCAAATTTTGGATTTTGATCTTTTCCCCTGGCTAACGCCGTGCGGTAGGGTACTCTCTGCTGCTGTCGTGCGGGGGCGACAAGCTGTAGCTCCCAGTCAGCCATGCGATTGAGAGGGTCAGCAACCCACACGCTTCCAGCCATTAGCTTTCAGTACAGTATTCGGTCAATTACATGAGATATTCAACTAGATATAAAATAGACATCAGGTGATTTTACCCAGCTGTAGGCTAATGTAAGTGTTCTGAGCACGTGTAAGGTAGGCTAGGCCAAGCTATGATGTTCAGTAGATTAGGTGAATTAAATGCATTTTCAGCTTAGGACCGTTTCAATTTACAACTGATTGGTTTATCAGACATAACTTTATCATAAGTCAAGGAACATCTGTAATTTTAGAGATGTATTGCCTACTATATTTCTTCAGACATTAATTTTTACATAACTGATTTATAAATGAATTTTTATTATAATGAAAGCATTTGGCCATAGTAACTCCTCTTTTCATTATACTTTCCTCTATAGAGGTAACAGTTATTGTCATTTAATGTATATACATTTCAATCCTTACTCCATGAATTTTGTATGAATATGTATATGTACTATAAAGATCTAATACTTCTTGAAGATTTTTCTTTTTTTTTTTTTAAACATGAAAGGTACACTAAACACATTGCTATGTAATTTACTTTTGACACTCAAAAATACCTTTTGGAGCTCTTTCCATATTAATCCCATTGATCCACCTTATTTTTATTTGTTGTATATTACTCTTTGTAAAAATCAATATACTACAATTTACCTACCTATCTAGTCTCCTATTGGTAGACTTAATTTCTAAACAATGAAGAAGTGAATAGGCATATTTGTGACTCCATAGCCTCATTTTCTTCTGTTTCCAGGGTGGAGGGGGTAATTTTATGACTTAGGATATCTGCATTTCAAATATTAATGGATACTTTCAAATTGCATTGTAAGATGGCTATATTGCCATTGGATGGAGAATTCAGTTACACTCCTACCATGCTAACACCACAAATTTTTGCCTGATAGACTAAAAATAATTTTATTTTCATTTCCCTGGGTACTTGGAAGGCTAAACACATTTATGTATATTTTTTGACCATTTATAATTTATATTTTATGAATAGTTTCTTTCTAATTTATAATTTTGATCATCTACTATTAAGTACTATAGAATACTATTATTCTAGAATTTTCCTTTTTCTAATATTAAAAGAATTTCTAATAATCTGTTTCAGGTCAAAATAGTTTAATGTACTTATCAGTGACTTTAAATGAACTGCAGTTGCCATAAGAAAATTTCTAGCATTATTTAATTGGATTTAGCGTATCTTTTCCTTTAAACCTTTGTCATTCTCTGCTTTTCTCCTTTAATTAGTCTTACTAAATATAAGAACAAGATAGTTTACTTATTTCAGAATTAGGTGATTTCAACACCCTATATTGTGTTTCTCTTTATTTTCTCCCCTCTAATAATCTTAATTAAGTAGCTTTAGTTTTGTTAGATGTCATGGAATTGTTGGTGAGGGTTTTGTTTTTGTTTTTGGGTAAGCCTTTGTTAATTTAAGAAATTCCATACCTTGTCTTTGCATTCTCATTAAGGAAGATCTAGCCAAGGCATAAAAAGCCTTAAAAAGAGGAAAACTCATTACTGTTTTTTAAAAAAGAGAAACAAAAAACCTTTATTGTTGTCTATCATTACAAATTATAATATATTTACATACCCATCTCTGGAATATAGATTGTTTACAATTTATAATTCATTTAAATTAAGGCTTTTGTAGCACAATCTAACTGTAGAAAATACTTTTTTTACTTTGCATAAATAATTTATTAGAAAAGGCTATTTTAAGCTTTAATAGAAATAAGATATTCCAAATATATTTCTTGTGAAGATAATAGAACTTAACATTGTTCATTAAAGTACTTGATGGTCTCTAAGAGGAGAGAAAGAAGTTAGTTACAAGTGATAAAAGTTATGTATTTCCTAGGTGGGAGTACAGAGGAAGTATAAAATTCTTGAGTATTTGAAACACAAATTTAAATAAAAAATGTTGAGATGCATAGCTGGCTCCATTGGTTAAACATCTGATTCTTGATTTTGGCTCAGGTCGTGAGCTCTGCTTTGGGCTCTGTGCTGACAGCACAGAGCCTGCTTGGGATTCTTTCTCTCCCCCTCTCTCTGTGCCCCTCCCCTGCTCACACTCTCTCTCTCAAAATAAATAAAAACTTATAAAATGTAAAAAAATAATGTTTTTATTTAAAAAAGTGTTAAAACTCATTTATCCTAAAGTACGGATGGTAAACAAAGGAAGAAATCTCTACTGCCAACAGGTATATATGTTTTATATAGATCAGATCTTGATTAATTTTAATCCTTGACTAACATTCAATCACAAATTCAATTTATTGTTTTATATTACCATTTCTGCAGAACATACTTATTCAGTCGTTGTTCATTCAGCCTGTGTTTAAAATAAAATAATCACTTGTTCTGTATTTCTCATGCATGTTTTTAGTTTTTATTTTTAAATATTTATTTAATTTCTTTATTTTTGACAGAGAGAGAGAGAGAGAGAGAGAGAGAGAGAGAGAGAGAGAGAATGAGGGAGGGGCAGAGAGAAAGGGAGACAGAATCCCAAACAGGCTGGGTGTTGTCAGCAGAGTCTGATGGGAGTCTAGGACTCACTAGCTGTGAGATCATGACCTGAGCCGAAACCGAGTCAGATGCTCTGCCGACAGAGCCACCCAGGCGCCCCTCGCATGCATGTTTTTAAAAGACAGCAAACATTTTATCCAAAGCATTCTTTCAGTTGGAAAGGCACTTTACGATGAATTATTACCGAGTCCATTAGAGACCTCTGGTGTTTGAAAAAGATCCAACTCTTGCCTAATTTTGCCCACCTCATTAGACAAGGTGGTATTCCCATTTAAGTGTGTTATTTTGAAATGTGACATGACTTCAGAATGATTTAGAGAGTCACATAGATTTCTCTGACCCTTTTTTGCCTTTATATATATGGGCGTCTATTTTCTTTGAGTATTACCTGACCGCCTTCTATAGCTTACTTCCATCTTATTATTACTTCCTCTTATTAAAAACTTAATGAATGTCTTTTTTCCTGTTCGGTGCTGGGATCCTGGGAGTAGATCTGTGTGAGGAGGGTAGTGGCTGAGATGGTTCCTTCCCTTTAACTGACCACAATACAATCCGAGCTACTTATTTAAATAGCTTATTGTTCTCTTTATGAATGAAACAAAGCAAATGAATTAAAAGACTGAATCAGATATTTTATGTTCTCTCTTAAAATGACAAACTAAAAAATTATAATTTTTTTACATTATGTCATTGTTAATAGCATCTTCCTATAGAATGAAATTAATCATATTTAACATAACCTAGTGGAAATAACCTACTTAATTGCAGAGTTTAAAATAGGGTGATTTAATCCAGTGAAAGTTCTTCCAGCAAAGATTTTCATAGGCCTCTGAATCCTATGTTCGCAGTAATATTTTCTAGCTGCAATTATGAGTAACTGATTCATAAAATAACTAATGCCTGAATATAAGGATGTTTCTCATACGTTGCATTACTGCGTTAACAGCCTATAAATCTTGGAAATTGTTTTCTTCTTTCCTTATTTCTAATGGAAATAAAGCCGAGTCCTCTAAAATATTAAGAAATAGAAGAATGTCTACATTAGTGACTCTTATTTTGCCTATATGTATTACATTGTATCAGAGGCTTAAAAGAGGCCTCAAATGTGTACTAAACTCATCACCATTAAATTCTGATTCATGCAAGAAAGTGTTTAAATAAATTGGAGGGAAGTTTGACATAAGATTTCAAATTGTGGAAGAGATTTCTTCATAAGGTGTTTAAGTATTTCTTTATCATCATCAGTCACTTTACTAGTCTTCTAAGGAGAATGTTTCACAGTCAGTACTATTTTACAGGCCATTCCACAGAGGAAGAAATCAAATTATCTTTTCTAGAAACACTAAAAGATGCCTGCAGCAAGTCTGATGAAGTGTCGTATGGTGAATTTGAAGATTACTATGAAGGTCTAAGTATAGGGATAGTAAATGATGAAGATTTTGTTAATATCTTACGTACCCCATGGGGGATTTAGTTTTTCAAAATGAATGTGTTTTCAGCACGAAGCATTTTAAAGGAGAGAATGAAGTGATTGTAAAATACAATCAAACACTGGAATATATTTTTCTAGGACTTTTTTTTTCCTCGAAAAGATTGAGTCTGAAAAGAGAAATCAGAAAGATAGATGAAGTTACATGTATGTTCATGTGCATGTATGAGTGTCTCTAAGTTTGTAAAGTCCTGTCATTTTGATTTATTACTTATCTTGAATAGATTTTAAAGGTCATTTTTAAGTAGGCTTCATAGGAAAGTTATGTCTTCATGAAACTATATGGGAGCATGTATATAGTAACTGCGTTACACATCCATTTTTTTTTTGCTACCTGTTCCCCAAAATATGATTGCCAACACTCTCAATCTGATAGACTGGAATTGGGCGCAAAGCCTATAAGACTTCAAATAGTTCAGCTTGTTTCAAACATGAAAATGTTAAAGAAATTACGGAAAATGCGTAAAAAATTAACGGATGTGCAAGGGAAATTTTCCCTGTGGGGTGATTGTAGATGTTTTCCATAAGATAAATTATTAGAATGATGGAGGCTTACCCCTAAAATGCTTATGTAAACACTGACTTGTCTTGTGAATTCTTCTAAATTATGTGCTGTTTTTTGTTTTGTTTTGTTTTGTTTTTTTGGTCCAGTTGAGCACAGTGTAATTATTTGAGTGATCAGCTCTGTTCGTTCTTTTATTCTATTTTTAACTGCAATCCTTCTTACCTACACAGAATTACTAGTTAGCTAGAAACAGTGTAAAATGGGAGGGGGAATGTTTTCTGAGATTTTTAAGTAAAGATCTCAAAAAGTGCATTATCACATGTATGGACCAAGGGATAATTTTCTAATTCTTAACAAAATGTGAAAGGATGTTTGTGTCCTAAAATGAATGTATGTTATTCTAAACACCTCCTTTTGTTATACTAAAACAACTGAAACATTTTCTTCTCAATAGATATTATTTAATGATTAAATATGTTGTAATTATCCTTTCTAAATTTTCCTTCACTTCTCCTCACTTCTGCTTGGAAATACAGAGAGAAGAGAAAACTCAGTTGTTTCCAAGTTCATACTTTTAAATGTTATATATTATGATAACATAAATTAGAATAGAATGGTGTTGAGTAAAATAAGTTGTAGAATATGACTTTTGGCATATAACTTTATATCTATGCCATTGGCAACATTATCAGTTGTGTGATGTGTGGAAACACAGTACATTCAAAGTAGTACTTTTTCGAGTAGGTACTAAAACTCACCACTAAAATATCAGAAAGAACATTTTAGTGCTATTTTCACTAGCTAAATTCTTTATTCCTTGGAATTCACCTCCGCCATTAGGTTATTGTAATTAAAACAATATACCGGAAGACATTTTAGCAGAAATAAGTCTATAGTAAGTATAGTAACTCGATAGTAACACCATTTCTGAATCACATTCTTATTCTTAGAAAAATGTATCCAACTATAGTCATTTTAAAACCTACAAATTGTTCTCATATTAAAATGACTAATTCTGTGGGTGCTCAATATGCATGTACTGTTTTTCATTGATAATTTTTTATTCATAACAAATCTTAACATTGTTGGGTCATCTTGTGAATATAATCACAAAATGTATTGTGTAGGCTGTCATATTGGGAAAAAAGGGAAGATTCTTCTGGGATTTAACATGTTAATGTCACATCTTACTCTTAAATAAACCATCACGCTCTTAATATAAGTACTGATATGTGTTTGTTTGCAAGAAGTTTGTCTATATAGGAGTTTAGGAATAGTTAATTTCTTATTACTTTCCACTGTTATTTCAATGTAGAGTTAAGGAATACGTATTCAATGTTATCTGTATATTTTGTTAAATTATAATTCTTGGCCCAATAAATCATTCTGCATTTGCCTTACTGTCTGCATTGTTCTCTGATTTCAGTGTAATAAAATCTATTATTTAGTAGTCAGTCTAATAGGAGAGCTTTTAATTACATGGTTATATTTTCAAACATGGACAATATAATAACTGGCTTTTAAAATTCTTAACAGTCTTCAAGAGTCTAAAATATTTATTGATTAACTTTAAAATATTAAATATGAAATTATATGTTATGGTGATGTTACATACATTTTATAACAAGTGTATTCCATCATTCTCTAGATCTTTAAAAGGTCTTTACTTGTTTGTGGTATAGAGCTGCTTTCCCAATAGCTATACTGTTTATTGAAGTCTATATATTCATTTTAGTGTCTCTACTCTTATTAATAAAGTTTTACAGAGTTTTTGGGAAAACTCTGTAAATGAGGAAAAGCTCCTGTTATAGCCTTCCATTTTTATTTTATGGTTCTACAAACTTCTAAGGAGAACATTTTTTTGGATGTCTTCACAGGATAAAGAATAAGTGCCTCATCGTGGAGCCACTGTTCATTTGATCATGACCTCATTCTGTCAGTCATGTAATATGGTTGACCCTTAAACGACAGAGGTTAGGGATGCTGATCCCCTGTGCAGTGGAAAATCCACCTATAACTTTTGACTCCCCCAAAACTTAACTACTAATAACTTACTGTTGACCAGAACCCCTTACAGATAACATAGTCAACTGATACATATTTTGTATATTATATGTATTGTATACTGCATTATTACAGTAAAGTAAGCTAGAGAAAATAAAATGTTATTAAAATCATTTTCAGTACTGGGCCCCCTGGGTGGCTCAGTTGGTTGAGTGTCAGACTTTGGCTTAGGTCATGAGTTCGAACCCTGTGTCTGGCTAGCTGCTGTCAGGGCAGAGCCTGCTTCGGATCCTCTGTCCCCCTCTCTCCGCCCCTTCCCTGCTTGTGCTCTCTCTCTCTCTCTCTCTCTCTCTCTCTCTCAAAAATAAATAAACATTAAAAATATATAAACCATAAGAGACTCTTAAAAACTGAGAATAAACAGGGTTGATGGGGGGTGGGTGATGGGTCTTGAGGAGGGCACCTGTTGGGATGAGCACTGGGTGTTGTATGGAAACCAATTTGACAATAAATTTCATATTAAAAAATATATATATAAAATAAAATTGTTTTCAGTACTGTAACCAAAAAAAAAAAAAAAAAAAATGCGTGTAAAAGGGCCTGCACAGAAAAAACCCATATTTTTTAGCACAATTTTGTTTAATTTTGTACACAATTCACTTTGTGTATCTACTTGGTCTCAAGTCCTTGGGTTTCTTACTTTTGAATCCATCCCTTTCACTATTCTCAGTGCCTATTCCTTTGCTCAAGCTCTTACCACTTTACATGTGTATTAGCCCCACATCAATTCTGCTTCCTCTCCGTTCCTACTTTAACCCATCTATACATTGCTTCTAGAATTATCTTTCTCAAATGTACTTTATTTCCATGATTAAAGTTCTTCCATGGTATCCCACACCTTTAAGAGAAGTTCAAACTCCTCACCTTATGACAGACAACCTAAATAATCTAGTCTCCCCAAGCTGATCTCCCTCTCCACAGTTCATTCTCTTTGTTCCCCCAGCCATTCTAAGCTACTTACAGTTTTTAAACAGGATTATGAGGTTTTAATTTTTTTTAAATGTTTATTTTGAGAGGAAGAGAGAGAGAGACTGGGGAAGGGCAGAGAGAGGGAGAGAGAAGGAATCCAAGCAGGCTCCATACTGTCAGTAGAGCCCGACATGGGCTCGAACCCACAAACCATGAGATCATGACCTGAGCTGAAACCAAGAGTCGGATGTTTCACTGACTGAGCCACCCAGGTGCCCCTGGATTATGAGGTTTTAAACCTCTGTGCCTTCAGTACTGCTCTGACACTTTTGTCTAACATTGTTTCCTCCGTTAGCGCATCTAAATCAACTGCTACTGTTTTCTAATACTACCTCAAGAACCATCACTTCTGGAAAGCTAAAGCCAAGAAACTCTGGAGTCTGATATACTTGCCGTTCTTTGGATCCTATTGGCATTGGATAAATGAAGCATCTATCACTTCATACTATAGTTATTAGTTGGCTTATGTTGTATTGTATTGTATTGTAAACTTCTTGAGTATAAGAACCATATCTTATTTCACTTTATGACCCTGGTATCTAATGGAAAGTCTCTTGAGGTGTGGTGGATATTAAATCAAAATTTGCTAAGTATACATGTGTGATTTAAAGCAACAATTGTTATGGTTCTTACATTTGAACACTTTTGCATTAAAACACTGTAGCATAGGGACGCCTGGGAGGCTCAGTCTGTTGAGTGTCCGACTTCAGCTCAGGTCATGATCTCGCGGTTCGTGGGTTCGAGCCCTCCATCTGTGCTGACGGCTCAGAGCCTGGAGCCTGCTTCAGGTTTTGTGTCTCCCTGTCTGTGTCCCTCACTCTCTCTCTCAAAAAGCAAATAAACATTAAAAAAGTTAAAAAATCAAATGCCCCTAGTTCATACTTGATATAACACAGGTATAAACTAGACACAGTGGGGCATGGAAGAACTGTGTCCGATCAGGGGAGTAATAATAATAATGCATCCCTCTGAAGTCATGATTTATTAAGGTATTATTGAGATGGCATTTCAGGTGTTCTATAAAAAACTGAAATGGTTAAGATTTTGGAGATTTGATTGAATAAATTATAGAAATGTATTACTGGATACACATTTTAAGATTTCTTCAACCTGTGTAAGCTAATTTGTATAGTTTTTGGATTTCTAAGCAATGCAAAGTTACTTGTAAGGGTTTGAATAAAATTATTTATCTGGTGATGAATTTTATGCAAGGAGAAAACAACCATGGTCTCTGTTGTGTTTAAGTATTCCTTTTGTCAAATTAGAATGGGATTTCTGAGTATGGCTGAAGTTTAGATACAAATGAAAAGATTCTCACCTTTGCAACTGTATGCTGAGTTTCCTGGGATTTTCAGATGATTAGAAAGCCAATATGGAACAGGTGACTGCCATTCAAGGAAATCATTATGTGTCACTTATGAAAGTTGTACACTTATCCAGTAGTTGAAGAGATTCATATAGAAAAACTTAAAAAAAATATATGATGTCAAGGAAAAGTAATTTTGATGATGTATTTGGATATGACCATTACATCAAGAAAAAAACATGTACTTTAATAATATTTTAATATAAATGATGTGGAAAGGACACAACCTTTGAAGTCACTGGATATTGATTTCAAAGTTGAGCTCTGATACAAATTAGGTACGACTTTGGGAAGCTACTTAATGTCACTGAGTCTTTACTGAAGGACTCACTATAGGTATAAATATGGATATACTTAAGAGATGTAGATGTGGATAGATCTCTAGGTATAGTGCTTAATACAATCTAGCAGACACATGTAACTTAGTATACATTTATTTCTTTTGTAATTTTTTGCCTGAAATAAAAAATTAATGAAGAATTTTCTTTATTTTTCTGATTAATCCCAAATGGCAATCATATGAACCATTCTTTTTTTTAATTTTTTAATAAAGCTTATTTATTTATTTTAAGAGAGAGAGAAAATAAGAGAGAGAGAGTGAGCAGGGGAGGGGCAGAGAGAGAGGGAGAGAGAGAATCCCAAGCAGGCTCTGCACTGTCAGCTCAGAGCCTGGCACAGGGCTCGAACTCATGAACCACAAGATCATGACCTGCAGAAATCAAGAGTCAGACACCTAACCGCCTGGCCACCCAGATGCCCCAGAATTATTCTTTAAAAGAGAGATGAATTCTCTTCTTTCATCAGAGCCCATGAAGGAAAATCAAAATCTGTATTAAAGCTATCAATTCTTTTCTTATGAAGTATGTAGTAAGGTGACAGTTTGAAAGAGTGATTAGTAACAAAATTTATTGTTACTGAAATTAATTGGAAAATGATACATGTGGAAGATGAATTTTATATCTATAGAGATGTTAGGCAACATTCCTAACATCTTCGGCGTGTACCCTAAGGCAGTCAATTGTCTTTTGCATCCAGTAAGAGATTGTGTTTTCTACAGATGGCCGGGACAGTATCTCATCCCATAAAGTGTTCTTACCTAGTGAGCTTAACCTCACACCCAGAGGTGGGGTGTGTGTCTTCTCTAGTTGGATATGTACTTGTTACTTGATTGTAACCATAGACTGTGGCTGAAGTGATGCTGTGTGACTTCTCAGACTAGGCAAGAAAAAGCCACAAAGTGTCTTCACTGCTTGTTGCAAGATTTGACCACCAAGTAAGAAGTCAGACTCTATGAGACTGCCAGATTGGAGCCGTTGTATGAGGTGCTCTGGTCTCCCAGCTGATAGTATCAATTGTCTACCATGTGCGTGAGTCATCTTGGGTTGATTGCAGCCCCAACCAACCTCTCACTATATTCACTTGACAGACCCCAAGTGAGAACCACCTAGATGAGCTTTTCTATATTCTGTTTATTTTTAATTTCAGGTTTATTGAAGTATAATTGACCCATAACTCTGTGAGCAAAATAAAATGTTTGCTTTAGGCTGCTAAGTTCTGGGGTTATTTTTTGTACAAAAATAGTAAGCACAACAAATCCTTAATTAGAATTTGAATAAAACAAAGATATTAAAAACATTTTGTTAGGGGCGCCTGGGTGGCGCAGTCGGTTAAGCGTCCGACTTCAGCCAGGTCACGATCTCGCGGTCCGTGAGTTCGAGCCCCGCGTCGGGCTCTGGGCTGATGGCTCAGAGCCTGGACCCTGTTTCTGATTCTGTGTCTCCCTCTCTCTCTGCCCCTCCCCCGTTCATGCTCTGTCTCTCTCTGTCCCAAAAAAATAAATAAACGTTAAAAAAAATGAAAAAAAAACATTTTGTTAACTAATCAGGGATTTAATTAATGTGGCCCATGGTTTATAAAATTCTTTTGAGACATTAAAGAAGAAAATAGGCATGATACATCTATATGAATGAGTGATAGAATCCAAAGTTATACTTTATTAAAG